ACCTGGGCCCAAAAACCTTAAAACCAACACATATAATATTGTTATTTTAAGAAGAATTTCAATTTTGATTCTTATAAAATTAACTAGTTTTTTCTATGCGCGATGTGCAAAAACATATACCCAATATTTATATTTTTAAAAATAACTAACAAATTTTTACTAATTAAAATCTATATGAAATCAAATATTATTATCATTAAAGAATATAAGAAAATATATGATCGATGCATGTGTATGATAACAATAATGGAAAAGATAACAGAAGTTATAACGGTAGGGGTATTTTTGTCCAAAAAATTGTATAGTACAACTCTAAAAGCACAATGTACAAAATGATTTGCACTAAATATATGAACATAAATTAGGGATATAACTTTGATTGAGACTTCTATTTCAAAAAAAAAAAAAAAGAAAACTTTGATTGAGACTTATTATGTTTTTATATAGATTAGATAAGAGTCAAACTAGATATCAATTACAGGATTAGTCAATGTCATCTTTATTAATTAAATAAAATAATAAAATTTTACCGTCTAATAATCATTTATAAAGTGGATGAATAGTATACGTTTTAAATATTTTCATTCAGACAAGATAATAACAAAGAATGAACCAAATCCAGAGTGGCAAAGAACAAGAATTTGTGAGTAAGCCACCAATTAAAATTAAAGTAATTTCAAAAGAAAGGCCATACCAAATTTACGCAAATTTTACAGAAAAAGTTATGTAATAGTTAATAACAAATGTTGTCCTGAATACGTTCCACATTAATACAACCTTGTCTGTTATAGAAATATAAGTACATAACAATTGTATCAAAAGAATCAAATCAAAAATTTAAAAAGTTACCACTCTTTAAAATTTGTACACATATATTCCATGAATCCATGTATGACTAATTATCTAGGGCGCAGCCTTCCTAGGTTGTCCTTATGTTTACTTGAACTAGAGGTTGAAATTCAAATACTCACAATGGATAAGAAGAGGAAATGAATAGGATAGGGAATATTATCCGAGCATGACTCTTTCTATGTACCGTGTATATGCTTGGTATTTAGTCAGGTCACCAAGAGGAATCATTTCTGATTTGTACCGACCATTATATTGTTATTCCTGACCTAAATGCGTTGATCGAACTAAATTATGATAGTAGTTTTACTTCATTGCTTTGGGACCAACCCAGACCTATTTAGGTCGGGAAGGTCATTCCAAGCAAGGTTACTTGAGGATTTGAACCTAGATTCCTAACTTTAATCCAACCACATCTCTAAGTGGATAGTCAAGAATATCAACACATGTGACTATCATGGCGTTGTTCCCGAGCCAACCAACTGTATGTGCGACACATGTTAGACATGCTGACAATCCGACATATGTCTCCCTCTCTCCACTATAAATAGTGCATTTAATGCTAAAAGGAGGGACTTTTGACATTTTTACCTACTACGTTATAGCTCTAGGCCCTCTGACCTTACGTTCCTACTTGAGCTCAGAACTCAACCAACGAGCAAACTATTGAAGGATTCACTTGCGATCCGACCTCACAACTTATACGTATTTGTGGAGATGACAATATTTACCACATCTGAGTATAAGAGAGAGCATAGACAACTAAGAGAGTTGAGTGCTCTTATGATGCATTTTATATTATCCTTCTAGGGCCTTTTTACATAGTGACATTATAACAATCTTTGAGGTAGTTACTCTCAATAATAAACGTAAAAATTAGAAACTATAATTTCTAAAAGGATTAATATTTGATGCACCATCGGTGTATAGATGCTATACATCGGCGGTGAAGGAGAAGATGCCACATCATTAAAAAACAAATTCAATATTAACCGGGCCCTTTTTTGCAAAATATCTAAGACTTGTATTTTATTAGGTAAGTCTTTTATTTCTAATTAACAAAATATATTTACTTTCCTAAACATATTTATTACTTGATTATTATATATCTAATTATTAACAATTTTACACTTGCAAGTTCAATTCTACGACAGTGACAATGAAACCTGTATCATCCGTATGATTAATAATATTGTTAACATGTTCTATACTTAAAATTAAGAATTCTAATTGAATTAAAAAATTTTAATTTTAATTAACAAAAATCATCTAATTTCTTATATTTATCTAAACTCCTAAATCTATTTAAACCCCTAAACCCCTAAATTTAAATTACAACCTTAGTCACTATTACAAACAATTGCAACATCTTGTAAGAATACATATTCAATAATGTAAAAAAAATCAACACTTAATCAAATATTATATAATAGTCAAATTATATCTTAAAACTTATTAAAAAGTTAAAATGTAATATTCAACACAACAGTATCCAATAATGTAAGAAATCAAATTTGTAAACTAGGATGATGAAACATAAAACGAGCCACAAATTTGGTGAGGAGCCACAAATTATTTCTAATCATGAATAAGGTTGTAATTTAAATTTAGGAGTTTAGGGATTTAAATAAATATAAGAATTTAGATAGATATAAAAAATTAGATGATTTTTGTTAATTAAAATTAAAAATTCATAATTATAAATATAATAATTTAGAAATTCAGTTCAATTAGAATTATAAATTTTAAGTAAAGAACCTTTTTAACAATATTTGTCAATCATAAGGAGGATCGTTATACCCTGCACCACGGCGCGCGTAGCACTGTGGGCCCCGCGCCTCCCAAAACGACATCGTTTTGGCAAGTTATGTAGGGAGTTGACGTGATTATGTGTATTGTTTATACAATTATGTGTATTGTTTATACAATTATGTGTATTTGTTTATACAATTATGTACATTTTTTATACAATCATGTATATTTTTTTATACAATTATGTACATCCGAAACAGGAAATTTATGTGTATTATGTTAATAGTTGATGTTTATTATATTAAAAGTTTATGTATATTATGTATTATGTTAGATTATATGTATTATCTTTTTAAAAAAAATGTGTATTTTGTTGTACAATTATGTACATTCATGTATACAATTATGTGTATTCTAGTATAAAATTATGTACATTTTTTATCATGAATTTTATTTTTAAAGAAAATTAACCGTCAACACAGGGTAGCGAAATTTTAAAAAAATAAAATAAAAATCTGAAACAACGTCGTTTTGCATCAGGGTGCACAATGCAATGCGCGCCCGCCCTGGTGCAGGATATAAATTGCCTCATAAGGATGATACAGGCTTCATTTGTCACTGTCGTAGAATTGAACCTACAAGTGTAAAATTGTTTTTTTTTTTTTTTTTTTTTTTGATAACGAAAGTGTAAAATTGTTAATAATTAGATATATAATAATCAAGGGATAAATATGTTTAGGAGAGTAGATATATTTTGTTAATTAGAAATAAAAAACTTACCTAATAAAAGGAAGTCTTAGATATTTTGTAAAAAAATGACCTGGTTAATATTAACTTTGTTTTTTAATGATGTGGCATCTTCTCTTTCACCGCTGGTGTATAACATCTATACACCGACCGACGATGCATCAAATATTAATCCTTTCTAAAATGCTACAACCATTAAAATTATTATTATTATTAACAATATGCCCAATTATTCATAGTCACAAGTTGGAGAAGAATTCTCATAGTTTCGATCTCTTTGCATTTCTTACAATCCCCTACAAATGCAAAAAGCATAATTTTTTTTTTTTTTTGAAAGTTACTGGCTCTATTACATTGTAGTATCTGTTCAAATGCAAAAAGCATAATTAACATTAAGTCATGTCAATGTTTAAAGATTTGAAATATCATATACTAACACATGTTATTCTCTTATCTAGTGAGTGATCGATTCTTGAACTCCTAAAAAAAAAGATTTGAACCACACACACTCGCCTATATGAGTTTCGCAATAAACACTAGGCAATGACTCCCTCAGAATACTCACTAGTGCTCTAGAAAAACTGGTCATAATTCATAGAAGGAGGTCACTCCACACTCAACTAGATGATCTCAACGAATCATCAAGAATTCATATTGGCTCAACCTCTCTAGTATGGTCGGTGAATCTATCAAGTCCATCTCAAAATGACCACCTTCTTATTACATTAAGGATTCATTAAGGGCAATATATGCTCACCCTCTCAATCATTAAATGATGAATTCATTAAACCTGTCTCAATAGAATCACCAGCCTCATACGGTTATGAATTCATTAAGAGCTTTTAGGCTCAACCTCACAACACAACTCACAATATTAGTATACCAATTTGGTAAATTATGTTGTGGACCCGGGTTCATCTTGCAAGGTGAACCCTAGTTATGTTCACAATTTTTGAACTTTATATTCACAATTTTTGAACTTTATATTCACAATTTTAGAACTGAATATACACAATTTTAGATCTCAATATATACAAAATTACATAACTCAATATTTACAATTGCATAACTCTATATTCACAATTTTTGAATTCTATATTCACACTTTCATAAACTCTATAATTACAAAACTAAATATTCACTCGCTGAGTTGTTTTCAATAATTTAAAAAAAAAAAAAAAAAAAAAAAAAAGATCATTGGTTGCGGAAAATAGTGCCACTAACAACACCATTATTTTCATACGTGTAAACTGTGTCATTTTGGACTAAGTCCATGGCATAACTATTGTTACTATTTTTGTGATTCTTTCCATGACTTTGTTTAACCACAAAAGTGGAATCCTATCATTCATCACCTTTTGAGCTATACACTCATTCATCTTCTAGATACTAGCACTTACGCATCAAACCTTGACACAACTTAGTGTTAATTATGCTCTTTGCATTTGTGTGGATGGTAAGAAATGCAAAAGGAGGTTACGAAAATTCTTCTCCAACTTATGGCTACAAATATTTAAACATTTTTGTTAATTAATAATAATTTTAGTGGTGGTGACACTTTAGAAATTATAATTTGTAATTTATGCAACTATCATTGAGAATTAACTTTCTCAAAGGTTGTTACAATGTCACTGGATAAAAAAAACAATGGGAGAAGAATGGAAAAAATATTATAATGTGCTCTCAACTCTCTTTAGCTCTCTTTACTCTCTCTTGTATTCCTTTCCTCTTCCACCTTCAATTCGGGTGTACGAACATAGGGATGAATGTATAAAACCATAAAATTAAACTTATAACAGAAAAGAATGAAAAAAAAAAAAAAAAATCCATAGAGAAAGAAAAGAACCCTTTTAAATAGAAGTTGATGAAGCAGAAGGCTTGGTCTTGTTCCTGTAGAGAAACTTCTTCCCTTAAGAAGTCTGGTTGTCAAATGTTAGCACTACCTTTCCCTGCACCCTCTGAATTGTATGTGTTGCCAAGTTATCGTCTCATTGGCCGATCCACCCTTCATTTCTCGACGCCTTCATTAGGCGTTGGCTCTGATACCAAATTGAAGCATGTGCTCCATCTCAACTAAAAGCCTAAGCTGATAGTTGGATTGAACATTAATAGTTATATGCTCAACAGAGGCGTCCTAGCCTATCACTCTCACTTACCAAACCAAACTGCAATCCTGCAAATCCAACTACTCACATTAACAATTAGATGCATTAAAAACTCCTAACTTACACCAATGGAAAATTCAAAATTGGGCTAAGCTGCTTGTTATGTACTGCTTTTTTTTATTACCTCAGTAACAGGCAATTAGATAGTGCTTAGAAGTTGGCTTGATTGCATCCTCGGTTACAGGTCAGCAGTAGTGAGCTCATAATCACCTTCTCGGCTAAGGCCACCATATTGAACAGGCACTTGCTCAGAAGCAATATATCTAGGTTCCACGATTTCAACAGAAAATTTTAGGTGAACAGAATATTTCACACAAATAATGGAAACATAAGATTCAAACACAACCTTGGGGAACCAATTGAAACTTCATGTTGTTGGGGTCTAGGGATAGAATGCTTTTCTGCTCTCCAACCCTAATTGCATGCTTCTACAGATTTTTGTTCGAGTTACCATCAACCCACTGAAACAGCCACATCAGGGATGTCTTCGGAGCTGGATGTATCAGTATCAAGAACAAGCAAGGGGTTATCTAAATGTGCATCCTTGACATTTTGATAACAAATAGCTTTATCAAACACAAGTCTCTGTGTATTCCTAGGTAGCACTCCAGAATCCCACAACTCCAAAAATAGGTTAAATACAAGACTAGAATGATGCGATTTGTGCAGAAGTTTCCTCATCAATCTGAAAGTAATATGGTTAAACCGAAGCCCTATATCATTAATTTCAACAAGTATCTTTTTAATCATCCTAACATCTCCATCTTTACATACTCTTGATAGCATCAAATTGTAGGTGTGTATATTCGGAGCCAAACCAATTTCCTTCATTTCATTAAACAAAATATACGCATCTCCAACAAGGCCACCTTTGAGGAGCCCGCAAAGGGCAACCGTATAGGAAACAACATCAAGCTGGAACTTCTCTGCTACAGCTTTCCTGAATAATCTGACAGCTTGATGAAATTCACCAGACTTTATAAGCTCATTAATGATCACAGTGTGAATATGAGCATCAAGTCCATGTTCAGACTTTACAATTCCCCAATAAACGTTAACTGCTTGACTAGTCTTACCTAATCTGCATAACCCACTCAATAATCCAGTATAAGTATACTTATCCGGTTGAAAACCTCTACCTATAATGTCATTATAAAACTCAACGGCGCCAGCAGGATAACCAGCTTTGCAAAAATAGCTCAGAAAGGAGTTACACACAACTAAATCAGCAGTTATGTCTAGTCCACTGATCAGTACAGGTAAGAGGGTGAATTCCTTGGACAAACAAATGGTTGACATTATAGAGGAAAGCGTATAAGAATCAGGGGTCAATCCCCGCTCACTTAAACTACAGAAAACATCAATTGCATCATCATAACTCCCTAGTTTTGAGAGACAATCTATTAGTACATTGCACATAACCAAATCAGGGTAGCATCCCTTAGATTCCATAGCCGCTAAGATCTCAAATGCCTTGCTAGTCATCTGAGATTCTAAATATCCCTTGATTAGAGAGGTGCATGCTACAATATCTGGGGTACATCCACCAGCAACCATCTTAGCTAGCAAATAATCAGCAATATCAAGCCTGCCAGACTTAGAATATCCATCAATTAATATACTCCAAACACGCACAGAGGTGGGAATGCCCAAGACAATCATAAGACCCAACAATTGTGTAGCCACTGCTAACTGACCTAATTTACAATAACAACTCAAAACGAATGAAAATGTCTCAGGTTTAAGATAATAGCCTTTCCTCAACATGCTCCTAAGTACACCTTGGAGATTAACCAAATCCTTGAGTTTGCACAAATGACACACAGCAGTGCTAAAAGTTAAGAAATTAGGGACCTGGGTCTCCTTCAAAACTTGAACTGCTACACCTACACGTCCAATCTTGAACAACACATCCATCAGTATGTTCCTAGCAAACGTGTTTGGTGTGTACCCATACCTAAGCATCTCCTCAAAAGTCTCGAAAACCATACTGTGCATTCCTCCAAACCAATAAATTCTCAAAAACAGCAATAAATCCCCTGCCTTTATCACAGAACCCACATTCTCCAACTCATCAAGAAGTCCTTTCAATGTTCTGAACCTCTGAGTGAGCCGAGAGACTACATTCACCATGTGCGCAAAAGCTCCCTTTTGATGAAAGTAATTTGGTTGCTTAGCACACCATAAGAAGAAGCAAAGAGAAATCAGATCAGAATGGCAATTCAGAAGAGTGGATTCTACAACCTGTGGGGTGAGGATGATTCTGTAAGTCCCTGGAGCTTTGCAGAAATGCTCGGTGGAGGAAGAAGTTTGATGAATGTTGATTGGATAATCAATGGGTGGACAGAGACTGTGAATTGAGGAGAGAAATTGGGTTTTAGTTGATTGATATGAAAGCCTGACTAAGAGGCGTTTGGATCTCCATAGCATTTCTGATATGAAAGCTTGTGCAGCTCTAAATAAAGCATCAAGAAAACTCGACAGAGAGATGTTTGAATCCAGGTGAAGAGAGAACACACAATCACCAATTTTCTTGTCACTGACGCATTTTCTATTACACAGTAACAACAACTGTTAGAGGAAAGCAACAATTATATATCCTTACATATCTCTCGTGTGTGTGTGTGTGTGTGTGTGTAAAGACTAAAAATGTGATGAATTGTGATGGAGTCAGATGGATTGTAGCATGTAAATAATGTAATTCTACTTGATGAATGGCATCATGCATAATAATAACATGAGGTTTATGAATTTTTCTTTTAGGGTCCCAAAAAGAAAATTTTCAAAATGTTTTAACTTGGGAATGTAAGAAAAAATATACAATCAAAGTTAACTAAGATTGTTGCAAAATTATAGATTTCCAGCATCAATATGGCAGAAACAGGCAGAAAACCCAAAATCATCCAATTCTTAAAACTGATATTTAATCTAACACAACAGTATAACAAACTCAGGAAACTAGCCCTCCTTCAGAATACTATAAATGAACAATAAAGTAACAAAATGAAGTCAAACCACTTTTCCATCAAATGCAAAACTCAGTAAGTATTCTACAAAATGATCTCATTCAGCATCAATTAGATACAAATTAAACACAGACAAATTTAAAGAGCAGGAAAGAACCTGGTAAGACCATCCAAGGCTGTGGCAAAGCACTGAAGCACGACACTGTCACACCGGTGAAGAGTTTTGCAACGATTAGCAAAGGAGTTGATGCTTCAGTGTTTGAAGAGCTGCGATTCTGGGAAGCTATAATTGGAAACTTGGAAAAAAAAAAAAAAAAAAAAAAACATAAGCCATAGGAGAGGCAAAAATGAATCTTACCTGCACCTATCTCAAACAAATTCTTTTAAGATATTTCAATTACAATATAATTTGTGTCAAAGAAACATTAGAAGATTCAATCAAACATTGTGGCTCCTAAGTACATACTAGTTGTATTAACAAAACAAGAATGATCTAACAAAGAAAATGTAATCACTTTTCCTTTCCGCAATTAAAATAAAAAGATTAAAGAAAAAAATTCAACAAATTAAAGGATTAATAAAATGCTAACAGCTAATAAGCCATTCCAAATAAAAGAGGACACTCATCAGTTCACTGTGAAATCTTTCAAAATTATTATATGCATACTACTACTATGTATCATCACTAACTATTCAGAATTTTTCTTACCCAAAACTCAATTTTCCATTTGGCTGCCAACAAAATAATTTACAGAAAGCAACCAATTGGAAATGGCACAGTGCATAAGAACAGAAGCACGAAACAGAAAATCTAGATAATATAAATCCCAGGAGCTTCACAGAAAGCACAAATGACAGGAGATACCAAGTAGCTTGAGTGCTTGAACTTTCCCTGGCAATCGGCGATGGTGACCGCTTCCGACTTCCGAGGAGATTGACAGAAAAGGGAGCGGACACCAGAGGCAGAGAACTGCAGTCTGGGTCTATGACAGGGAGTTAGGGAGAGGGCGAGCCGCCAGAGAGTTCAAAGGTTACAAATCTCTTTTCTTTATGGACTCCCTATGGTTTTTAAATGATTTATATAATTTATATAATTAATAATTAATAATCTCACATATAGTTCATGTAGTCGGGGCAACTCAGTCAAGTTAGTGGAATAATTGTCTTGGTAATCACAATATTTCAAATTCAACTCGTGAAATGTCTAGGTTAACAAGGTAAACTTCACTCATATCAACAATACAATTTCATATAGCAGTTTTGGACTTTCCTGTAAATCAAACTTCAAGAACTTGAACCGAAATTGAGTTTTAAATTTAAAATGAAAAATTGCATTTTTTTCCTTTTAGCTAGGGGTGACCACAGTTTGGTTCCGGTTCCGAACTGACAGTTCCCAGTTTCGGAAAATGACGAACCGGAATATTCTAAGAAGGTTCCAGTTCCGATTCCGGAACCGGCGCCGGTTCAAACCGAAATTTTTTTTTAATTATGTTTTTTATTTTTAAAATAGTCTAAATTCAACAATTAATTCTTTTTAGAATTTTTTCATTCTAATTTTTTTAAATGGTTATATCAAATATTTGAACTTTAAAGTTAAACTTTAAAAATAAAAATAATTCTTATAGGGTAAACTTTAATAAAATAATAATTAAATTTTAATCAAATAATTGTTATTTAAACTTTAAACAAATAATAATTAAACTTTAAATAAAAAATAAAAATCATATATATGAGCTTTTTTTATTGAGAATAGAACTATTAATACGGACTGACGGGCTGAACTAAAAAAAGCCCGCTCTTGACGGGCCTAGGTTTTGCTGGCGCAGACCACCGCCCCGGGCCCACGAGCTAGGGGCCCAGCACACCACACCACCCCCTCCTTCTTCTTTTTTTTTTTTTTTCTTAAACAGAAATATAAACATACAAATATATATGACAGATTGGCATATATAGAAGAGTATAAAAAAAAATATAAACATACAAGATACTTCACATATTTCCGGTGAAGAGTAAATGGACAATCAAATACAAAAGACAAAGAAAAAGGTCCAGTTCATCTCAATTAAGTTTCCAGGCAATCCTTTTTGGTATTTTATTAATAATAAAACTATAAGAGCCAACAATGATTTTAGAATAAAGAGTAATCTAGCAAAAAGAGAAAAGCTCAATTCCAACATAATGAACATATTGAGGATGAAAATTGTCACCAACTGATTCAAATCAATTACACTAAACTTACTTGACGAATCAAGAGATAAAATATGCATCTGATTTTGACTATTGTGAAACCTAGGTTCAAATCCATTAACGCTTGTACCTTAGCTTCCTCCACTTCACTTCTGCCTTCAGTTAACACTATCCTCTCAACCAAAATAAATGGCAGATTGGCGGCGGCGCGGCGGTCTGTGGAGCTCCGGTCGCTGGTTCACGGTGGACGGCGGCGGCGGTCTGTGGAGCAAACAGTCGCTGGTTCACTGTCGCCTGTACGGCTGACGATCGGCTGTTCTCGGCAAGCAACGAACTGAAGATTGGGAAGTAACCAAGGAGATAGTGAGATGCGAGTGTGGAGCCGTGGAGGCGGGCGAGAACCGAGAGACGAGAGGCGAGAGTCAGAGACTGGAGGCTAGGGTCAGAGGTTAGATTATATATTATTTTATTTTTTTTAATTTAACAAATTTTGGCGGGTTCGATTGGCTCATCAAATTTTTACATAGCTGGATCTCGACTAGATTAGTTCCGTGTTCAAATTCGAGTTCGAGTCATACTGTTTGAACTTTCAAATTTAATTTCGACACATTTTGCTTCATTCTTTGTAAACTTATGACATGGTATCGAAAAATTATAAATTTTATACTTATTTGTTGTCTAAATACTTAATAAAAGTGCAATCTAAAATTCTGTCTTCTCAAAAAACTTTATCGTAAGAAAGATTTGTAAATACTGATAGTAATACGTATCGACAAAATTATTTTTAGTATCCAACATAGAACAATATAACCAAGGTAGTAAAAGAATGTATTCATAAGATCTGAATTACTTGTACTATGGCATATGATCAAGTATACTTTTACTAGTACATTTTTAATAGTACAATTCACCCCCTCTCAACATATTTGCTAGTTTTCAACTCCTATAGAGACAACATCTCTGCAATTTCAACATGCTCTCCCAGTTGCTGATATACACATAACCCACAAAAATCTGATATGATCTGATGCTAAACTACAGATTTGAACTATACACAAACTCTGATCTGATTCAAAAATACGAACACCAGGAGGATCGGAGCTTCGCTTCATTGTTGTTCACGAATGGCACAAACAATGCAGGGAGGATCTTCAGTTTGATCCTCAGGTGTGATATTCTCCAAGCAGTGATCATGAAACACATGGTGACAAGAAAGAACAGCGACAACCGGTGGCATAGCAGGCTGAGACAGCGGCCCAGTTGGAGTGAACCGGATATCCCTATTGCATATCCAGCATTTCACCCCCATTGGTCGAAGAGATGGGGGTATAGTTTGATTAGGTTCTACCAATGGTGGAGACTCATCCAACGACGGTGCAGAATCTGCATCTGACATTTCTGTTGGCAAAAGAATCACAACGCTTTTTCAAACTCGAATTCATATACACAAAACGAATCAATTTTGACGATGGATCGGAGGAGGTACCTTGCTCATCATCCACAGGAGGCAATGCAGGAGGAGGAGCAGAAGGTGTGGGTTTTGTACGGGGACGGGCTCGGGCCCAACCAGCCAGAGAGCTTTCGAGTCCTCTTGTACCCAGAGGTGGTTGGACATGGATAATAGAACCCCGAGGAATTCCTATAGCAAAATAAGGAATTCCTTGACCTATATCAAGTACATGTCTTTATATCAGGAAACCGGCCAGCCAGACCATTTTTAATGACAATAAAAGAGCACCAAGAAGATACCTCTTTGAAATGAAATAGGATACCGAACATTTGGACCCTGATATTGCTGATAACGACCTGAAATGTTCGTTAAAAAATTAGTGAGCTTAGAAGAAGGTATATTTGAAAAGAAATGCTTAAAAGGTATACCGCTTTGCTGGGCGCCCAACAGATCAGCTTGAGAAATACCAAACCTTGCAGGAAATTGGTTTCTCATAACAGCTTGAGAAATACCAATAGACAACTGCTGACCTGCAGAAACTGTTCCCCGTCAAAGTTAGGACCATAAGGATGCAAACAATCACGTAATGTAGTTAGCCAAAATAGAATTTTGGAAGTGCAGATGAAGAACCTCGAAGATTCATTATAAATATTAACTAGCCAAAAGCTCCATAAAAATGGGGACTCACCAGCTGGTTGAATGCTTGATGAAAATGGAACACCTTGAAAGCCTTGTGTTCCACGACCCCCTAGAAATAAACCGAGTTTTACAGCATTAGGAGCAAAGAAATATAGAGCCGAGAGAAGAAAATTTGATATATAACTGGAACAGTATTCCAGAGTTCTTAGTCCAAACGTAAAACTATAACACAGAATCGATGGCATGCCTTAATGTTAAACTAATGTTACAGGCTAGATAGTTTAAACGACTTGTAATTTACAGTTCACCTAAATGATTACCCCTGGCCAAAGCCTCAAAACCTCCATGATCCCTGGCAAAATCCGCAAAACCTCCAGAAGCCATGGAAGGTCGAGGTGACATGTTCCTCATACTGTTTCCATAAAATGGTTGAGCTGTGACACACGCAGGATTAAAAGATTACCATACTAAAGGATACATAATTTCAGTGATATTTTAGATTCAGAAATCGAATAGAAAGTATGACTTACCTAAATGGTTTTGGCCAAGTAAACCTCTATTACCCACGGGAACATGGGAATATGTGAATCCAGGTGGCATGCTCCCAAACATGGGAATATTTGTGAAGGGTAGTGTCTGCCCAGCAACATTTTGAGCTGTTACACATGCTAGAATGGTTAGAAAATTCCACTACCACTAATTTGCTAAATGGAACTGATGATAGAGCTTTATTACCTCGAAAGCCTTGATTGTATGTCGAACTGGTCGGACCAACAAGAGCCGAACTTATACCACTGTTTGTTGCAGAAAAAGGGTCATGATTATCAGTTTGTTCTGTCAGTGGAAAAGGTAATGAACTTCCACTCGGCCTACGCATAGCTGCATCATCATCACTTCGGAGCTTTGAAAGATCATCTACAAAGCTGAGTTGGGATCAAGGAACTTCTAATTTGTCTAATAGTTGATAAATTGAAAGACTAGTTTATCTAGTTTACCGGCAATCTCTTTGGTACTGAGTTTAATTCTTGATCTCCTCTGTAATGGTTTTCTGATTCTTGCACTTCCAATTGTCTGGAGTCTCTTGTCAATGCTTCTTGGAGAGCTAGACTGAGCATCAGCAGGGTGAGCATTCAAATCTAGTAAAATGTTTGTTGAACGCTGGGTTTCTCCCATGACGCTTGTAGTGATAGGAGGAGGGAGATCTTCACCACTAGTATCATTAAACCCCTCCATCGCCCCACCGCCATGTGCTTCTGCACTTTGTGCAGTATCATCATCATCCCCTCGGGTAGGACTCGAGGCCTGTAGGTTCTCCTTTTCAGGTTGATCCTTTAATCCCATTGCTTAGTTCCAACCTGAGAAAGAGAACCTGTAGATTGTAAAGGGAAAACAAGCCATTATTATCAAACTTGAAGAATTCACATCTTCACAGATTCAGCAACCTCAATATTTGTCAAAGTTAAAGTTTGATATGCAAACAAATTTACAAGTTTCAAGGGAAAACTGGAAAACAATATGGGAACACCAAAGATTCTCTCAGTTCATACAAATACTCATTTCTATCATACAAATTGTGGGTTTCATCAAAACATAATTCATCTCTGGCTTCCATTCAAACACAAAACAGGCATTCTGAGGTTACATCCAAATCCAAATAAACCCAGAAACCCACAAAACCCCCGAATTGAAAATCAAATGAAACAACTTACCCGCCAAGAAAACTATAACAAAAGATGATCTTCAGTTCTTTCTATAAACATAAATAAACCGCAGAGTCAATTAAAGGTTTCAAGAATCCAACCCACAAAGAAAAATGCCCAAAAATTAGAAAACGAAGGAATGTTAAAGAAAAGAAAATCCCTCAATTCCACACCAGGTATACGATCCAAAAAGATTACCCTGAGTTCCTATACACGTAAGAAGACTGCAAAATCCTATACCCAATTGCAGATGAAATCATATAAAGAAAATGCAAGAAGCTGCAGCAGATAAAGAAATGGAAAATCAAATTAGAAACATAAGCACTCGCATTGATACGCAAAATATGTATGTATATGTCCATACCAGTAGAGAGTAGTAATTGTGAGATCAGAGGATAGAGAGCGAGAGCGAGAGCGAGAGAGAGAGAGAGAGAGAGAGAGAGAGTTTTGGCGCTTGAGAGGCTAAATGAGAGAATTTAAAAGGTTTCGGTGTGTGGGGCCCATATGAATTAAGGAGCATCAGCCGTAGATAACGTGGCGCTTGAAAAGCTCGCTTCAAGTGCGACTTCCAATCTGACGTGGAAAGGATCACCAGAGATTATAGTATTATACGACGGTATTAATTAATGGGATTAAATGCGAAGTAATCACTTATAATTGGTGAAATCTTTGTTAAATCTATATAATCCAAACATATTTTGTTACGCAAAAATAGCCTCGAAGTTAGTGCATATGGTTAAGTCGTATCTTTAATCATCTCTAAAGAATACTGTAAAATGTTAAATTGGTGAATTTTTTGGCACAAGAATATAATTAATCAATGAATACGTTATTGCAACAAAAGTCTTATTGTCGATGAACAATACAGCGTCATATATGACGTTGCATGGTTCACCAAACAACAAATTTGGTGCATTATTTTTTTTTTTCATTTTGCTCCTGTTTTTATCTGTTAATTCCTTTTATATCTTTTATTTTGTTGTTATGCATTTGTATATCTGAGACTCAAACTCACAACCTTCTAAATGGAAGTCCAACTCGGGTACCATTAGACCACATAGTCCTAAAATTTATAATTTATGAGATCTTTCGAATGATGTAATTTATTTTTAAATAATAAACAATTTATACTTAAGTAGTTAACAAAATATACAAATGCATAACAACAAAATAAAGGATATAAAAAGAATTAACAGATAAAAACAAGGGCAAAATAAAAAATAATAATAATGCACCAAATTTGTTGTTTGGTGAAGCGTGCAACGCCATATATGACGATGTATTGTTCATCGATAATAAGAATTTACATTTTACCGTGTTCTTTGGAGATTATCTAAGATACGACTTAATCATTTACACTAACATTGAGGCTATTTTCGCTGAACAAAATATGTTTGGATTATATACATTTAACAAAAATTTCACCAATTATAAGTGATTACTTCTCATTTAATCCCATTAATTAATATCCGCGTATAATCTCCGGTGATCCTCTTCCACGGAAGTCGCACCGAGCTTTTCAAGTGCCACGTTATTTATTATATAAGGGTGTTTCGGTATTTGTCTCAAACTACACACCAAACTATAATTAGGCCACTGAACTAAAAAAAAAAAAAAAAAAAAAAAAAAAAAAAAAAAAAAAAAACAACAACAACAACAACAATTGAGTCCTTGAACAACACAAATTATTGCAATTTAATATAAAATGACTTATTTACCTTTTAATATGATGATGTGTCAGTTTCTTTATTTTAAATTTTATTTTAATAATTTTTAATTTTTTTTTTTAAAAAAAAAAAACAACTGGAGACCCCTTCGTCTCCGACCAGCCATGGAGAACCCTTCGTCTCCATGGCTGGCCAGAGACGAAGGGTCCCTTCCTCTCCGGCTCCGTCCAGCCATAGGGGCGAAGGGGCCTTCGTCTCCGGCTCCGTCCAGCCATGGAGACGAAGGGTTCTCCATGGGATCCCTTCGTCTCCATGGCTGGACGGAGCCGGAGACGAAGGGGTTTTCGGCTGTTTTTTTTTTTTTTAAATAAAATACTTATTTAATTAAAATTACCCATTTTTTTAATATAAAATTAATGCCTAACAACAACAATGGATATTTTTGACTTTATACTACTTATTCCCTTTACCGTGTTCTTTGGAGATGATCTAAGATACGACTTAACCATTTACACTAACATTGAGGCTACTTTCGCGTAACAAAATATGTTTGGATTATATACATTTAACAAAAATTTCACCAATTATAAGTGATTACTTCGCATTTAGTCCCATTAATTAATACCCGCGTATAATCTCCGGTGATTCTCTTCCACGTCAGATTGGAAGTCGCACTTGAAGCGAGTTTTTCAAGCGCCACGTTATTTATTATATAAGGGTGTTTCGGTCTTTGTCTCAAACTTTTTTAATAATTGAATTGGAATAAGGGTCAAATAGGTTATCCAACTACGCACCAAACTACAATTAGGCCATTGAACTCAAAAAACAACAATTGAATTCCTGAACAACACAAATTTTTACAATTTAATCTAAAATGACTTGTTTACCTTTTAATATGATGATGTGTCGATTTCTTTATTTTAAATTTTATTTTAGTAATTTTTAATTAAATAAATTTAAAAAAAAAAAAAAAAAAACAGCCGAAGACACCTTTGTCTCCGGCCAGCAATGCAGAACCCTTCGTCTCCATGGCGGGCCGGAGACAAAGGGGTCCCTTCGTCTCCGACTCCGTCCAGCCATAGGGGCGAAGGGGCCCTTCATCTCCGGCTCCGTCCAACCATGGAGACGAAGGGTTCTCCATGGATCCCTTCGTCTCCATGGCTGGACGGAGACGAAGGGATCATATGGAGAACCCTTTGTCTCCATGGCTGGACGGAGTCGGAGACGAAGAGGACCCCTTCGTCGCCGGCCAGCCATGTAGACGGAGGGTTCTCCATGGCTGGCTGGAGACGAAGGGGTCTCCGACTGTTTTTTTATTTTTATTTTTTATTTTTTAATTTAAAATGTTTATTTAATTAAAAATTATTAAAATAAAAGTTTAAAAGTTATTTTAAAATAAAGAAACCGACACATCATCATATTAAAAGGTAAACAAGTCATTTTAGATTAAATTGTAACAATTTGTATTTTGTAGGAATCTAATTGTTATTTTTTTGAATTAACTGGCCTAATTGTAATTTAGTGTGTAGTTGGATGACCTATTTGACTCTTATTCCAATTGAATGGGATTATGTAGAGTATGTTTGATTTGTCTAGCATGTAGTCATGTACCTTCTCAACCATTAATATTTATTCTTCAAGTGGGTGATGATGACAGAGGTTTCCTTCTGATTCACTAACTTTTATTTCAGTCCCCAATGAATTGTCTTAGAGTTAATACCATTTGATATCTTTCAAGTATAATGGTTATGTCACGTTTAGTTCTAAACTTTCAAATTGACCACCTAGTCCTTTGACTTTTAAACTATTATCACCTGTGGTTCAAGTTGATCATTCATGGTCCTTGAACTATCACATTTTAACCAACCATGGTTCTTTCAAGAGGACCACGAGTGGTTAAATTTCAAAACTTGAAGGACCATGGACGGTTAACTTGAATCATGAATGGTTAGATTAGAAAATCGAATGACCACAGATGGTCAATTTAAAAGCTTAGCACTAACTAAACGTGACAAAATTACTATACTCGGAGAACCTCAAATTGTATTAACTCTTTGTTTTATAAGGTAATGGTGAGTTTCCTATTATAGGTAGTGATGATGACTTGTATGACTTATGCGACGTTCCATATGTTGTTAATAGTAATTGTGGCCGTTTGGAGATATCTCTTTTTTTTTTTTTTTTTTCTTTTTTTTTTTAAATTTGGGGAGATATCTCTTGTGATGACAAAATATTAGTTATGTGCATGTTGGGATATATGATGCAGTATATTACGTGTTGGTGTATTTAACAAGAAAATGCACAACAAGAACAATCCTAGTGCACGACTCTGTACTTGATTAGAAAGCCCATGATTCCATGATGTGAATAGAAATTGGCAGAGAACACGCAAGTACCACCCACAAGGCCACAATACATATACCATATTATTTATTATCGCATTTGGTTATACTCAAGATAAGGTCCACACTTTTTGCAAGGAAATATGTACATGTTATCACCTGAATTCTTTCCTGTAAAAAGTGTAAACACGTCCAGACCATCTATTTTGATAAATCAAATGTTAGGATCTTACCATTATTAAATTTTCAATTTTGTAATAATTATAAAATGAACTCCGTTCTTAAAAGTTTTCAATAATTATAAAATTGATCACGTGTTTTTGTTACTAATGGATAGATAAGATCAATCTTCACTTTTTACAAAAGCATCATGTCCTCATTTGATAATTATAAAAGTTCAATTAAAATTATATATTATGTTTAAAAATTACATTGCATATTTAATCCTTTTAAAAGAAAAAAATGTAAAAGCAAAATTTTTAAAAATCAGTTGGTAAATGACCATTAATATAAAAGAATACTTAACGTTATAACTAGTTGCACCTAACAATATAATTATTTGCACCTAAGTGCATGAATGTTAACAAGGTAAATTACTTGCACTTGTAAGTGTAACTAGGTACACTTGTAAGTGATTTTACTTGCAAAGGTGCAAAAGTTACTTGCACTTGTAACCTATTTACTTGCACCAAAGTTCAAGTTATTTACGAAAATGCTACTACGTCATTTTTTTAAATTACATTTAATTCGCTGATTTGGACACGTGAACAGCTCTGTAAGTGATTCTTTTTTCTCTCATGGACACTTATTCTCATTAAAGCGTGCCTCTCTCTCTCTCTCTCTCTATATATATATATATATATATATATATATATATATATATATATATACTACAACAACCAATTAATTTGCATCACTTGAACTTAAAAAAAAAAAACAAAAATTAAAATGTCAAAATGAATCATTGAGTGAATAGAATATGATTCTCGTACAATATTTTTTTACTGTAATCTACTTCTTTTGTATGATTTGTGGATATTATACATTCTTGGGAAGTTAATATATTGAAGTTGATTTTTTATTTTTTTATTTTGGCAATCGAGATTTTGAAAGCAAATTATGAGTTATTACTGAAATAATCAGGATAAGTACTTTGACCAAATAACTTAAGAGAGAGAATCAAATGATCAAAGCCATGCCAAGGCAAATTACGATCCGCACAGTTGTGTGGACCACGGTTCAAAATGACGTTGTTAAATTTTGTGTGTTAGAATAATGCATTTTATGTGTTAGAATAATGAAATTTATGATGTAAGATAAAATACATAATGTGTTAGAATAACGTACTTTGTGTTAGAATAATGTACATTATGATTTATAAAAATTTATATTGCAACAAGTCACATAAAAAAAATACACAAAACGACATCATTTTTAGACCGTGATCCACACAGTTGTTGTGCAGATCATCTATTGCCATGGCGAAAACGGCAAATTATGTTGTGCATCCGTGTGCACCATGCATAGTGCATATGGATGCAAAAACGACGTCGTTTTACTTTTTTTTTTAAAAAAAAATCATTTCAATTGCCGTTAGTTATGTAAACATATGTTCATAAGTTTATAATTTCACATTCTGAATTTATAGTTATGAAATTATGGATGTGTAGTTATGCAATTCTGGATTTATAGTTATGAAGTTATGAATGCGTGATTATGCATGCAATTCTGAATGTATAGTTATGAAGTTATAATTTCACATTCTGAATGTATAGTTATGAAGTTATGGATGTATAGTTATGCAATTCTGAATATATAGTTATGAAGTTATGGATGTGTAGTTATGCATGCAATTCTGAATGTATAGTTATGAAGTTATGGATGTGTAGTTTTGCAATTCTGAATTTATAGTTATGAAGTTATGGATGTGTAGTTATGCAATTCTGAATGTATAGTTATAAAGTTATCGATGTGTAGTTATGCAATTCTGGATTTATAGTTATGAAGTTATGGATGTGTAATTATGCAATTCTGGATATATAGTTATGAAGTTATGGATGTGTAACTACGCAATTTTGGATATATAGTTATGAAGTTATGAATGTATAGTTATGCAATTCCGAATTTATAGTTATGCAATTCTGGATGTATAGTTATGAAGTTATGAATGTGTAATTATAAAATTCTAAATATTTTTTTTAAATCAGACGTCAAAAATCAAAATGATGTCGTTTTTGCATGGTGCACACGGTTACATAGCATAAGTCAAGAGGATAGATGTTGGGCCTCCAGCGTGGAAGCCCATTAAAAGCTGAATTGGAATTTGGAAGTGTGTGAGTGTGGCTTTATAAAACATCTAAAAATATAGTCTAGTCGGTGATTGGATCCCAAACTTGTAATTTAATTTTGAGTTAATACCCAAAATAGTCCCTCGACTATGTCGTAATTACCAATTTGGTCCTCGACTATCATTCTTACCCAATTAAGTCCTCAACTATACAATTTTTACTCAATTTAGTCCTTTGTCAATTTGACTGTTTGTTGACTGTCAAAAGTGGAAATAAAGTTGTAATTTTACAAGTTTTCTCCTTCCTCCGCATTTAGCAGCGCTAAACCATGTAGCAATAAGCTCCGGTTGGGTTCTAAACCTGTCAGTATCGAAGTAGTGGTTGTGCATCGGATAGCCCATGAATTTGATTTTCAACGATTTTTTGACGATCGAAATCTGATCGGAGTGTATTGCTGCATGGTTTGGCGCTGCTAAATGGAGAGGAAGGAGAAATCTTGTAAAATTATAATTTTATCCCGACTTTTGACAGTCAACAAACAGTCAAATTAATACAAAGGACTAAATTGGGTAAGAATTGTATAGTTGGGGACTAAATTGGGTAAGAATTGTATAGTTGAGGACTTAATCGAGTAAAAGTTAAATAGTTGAGGACTTAATTGGGTAAGAATGGTAGTTGAGGACCAAATTGGTAATTATGGCATAGTCGAGGGACCATTTTAGGTATTAACTCTTTAATTTTCCTCCACCATGGATTAGCTGTATTGCACCTCTTTTATCCTTTTCTTTTTACTCTTTTTTTTTTCTGTTTAAAAAAAAAAAATAGTTTGAAGTGTTACAATTCTTCATATTCATTTTTTTACCTTTCATTCTTAAATCATAATAATTAGTCTTGACCTTTTAATAATTTTTTTATTTATTCGCTATTTATAAATTAAATTAAATGACTATATATTTCAACATTTTGTTTCTTTACTAAAGTGCCAGGTAATTACTAGAACATAGGAATCTGCACATGAAAGGTTGTAATATTTTTAGAAATATATAATTCCATTTTAATATATTATTTTGTTAGGAAATTAGGGAAATTTGTACATTTGCTACAACATTAATTTTAAAGTTTGTCAATTAAGGAACACAACAAACGGATGATTGGATTTTTAAAATTTTCACTATTTATTTTCGTTATAAATAAATAATTGAATTGATTAATGTCTTTAAAACAAATAGTTTAAAAATGAAGAAATTGCATCCAAATGGAAAATCATCAACTCGTGGGTTTGGATGAGATAATGTATATTTCTTTCAATTTAAGTATGTTTCGGGTTTGAATTTTGTATCACTTTAATTGACTGGTCGAGAAAATTTATGATTATACAACTAACTTAAAGAGAATAACTTTAGTGATTATAGAGTTGCGAGTTACATAGATTAGGTTGACCTTATTCTAGTCATTATGCCACTTTTTAAGTGACATGGAAAAAAATAATTTTTTTTTTAATGTATACATGACTAGCAAACTTACTACTTTAACAAGTTTGCTAATGACAATTTTTGTTGTCATTTGAATTGGCAACAAAAGCGGATGGCATGATTTTTTTAAAATTTTTTATTATTATTTTATTATCATATTTATAATATAATATAAAACTGGGACCACCTTTAATTTGAAAGTGGATGAATATTATAGGGATGTAGAGAAAATAATGAAAAAAACTGTAAATTTAATAATGTGAGAGTGGAACTCATTTTTTAAAATGAGAGAGTATTGTAAGGATAAGGATAACCTCATCCAAATCAATAATTTTCTTTACGGAGGAAAAATAGCTTTATTCATAAATTTATTGTGGAACACCCACATATTTAATACATATAATACCTATATATAATGGAAGGCGAAGGATGATATATTGATATTCAATCAGGGGGAGGAAGAGTAATATTTTGCTAAATTTATCCTGTCATGGCGCATATGTATTTGTATGTCATCATGACTTACATAGCAATCATATCATATCATATCATATACTATATATAAAATACATAAATAGTTGGGTTATAAATATTTAATCAATGACATCATGTAATATTGTAATTTGTCATGTTCGTGGTACAAAATAAATAAAAAGTGAAAAATACAAATATCAATATATTTCCAACCCCCTCTAAATGTAGGAAAAAACATTTTAAATGGGTAATGTTACTAGTTTTTTTTTTTTTCTTCAAATTCATATCAAATTGAATTTAAAACAATGTAGTTTTATTCGGTCAATTGGTAATATGCCACAATTTAAGTATTCATAGGTAATTAATAATGTGACATTGTTTACAATTGATGATACAATTATTTTGCCATTTATGAACACTTTTCACGAGTTTACTTTTCAAGTTCGAAATTGTTCAATTGATATTCTCTTTTGTTTGCAAAGTTTCATAATATTTGCCTCTTCATCACTACTTTTGACAACTAAATAAATAACAAAAATTGAAACAAAAGTTGCACTCCATTTTTGGATAAAAAGAGGGGAGACAAAACAACAATTTATTATATTCTTACCATGACATGTCTCAGTTTGGTGACACTTAAACAGTCCCCTTATGATAAATTTTTCTGACTCGAACGAGTGATCTCCTGAACTCACAGCAATCACGATGTTTAGGAAGAGCAATGTTGCACTCCATTAATGACATAAACACTAGATATATAAGATATGAGCTCACAGCATTAAGTTATTGAAGAAGGAAAGTAAAAAAGTACGAAAAGGGGAAATAATGAGTTCTAAAAATGGTAAAAACTTACAAGTAGTTAACAAAAGAATAAGCAAAGAAGTAGTAATAATAGTAAGTCAATTTAGGTGGTGAATGATCTCTGACTTGTCTTCATGCAGCTTCTTCAGCGTTTCATCAATGCATTGAATACGTAAAAGCCATATCCCATAGCCTCCACTTGCAAACTATTCAACTCCGCTGACCCTTTTGACCATTCCACCATTTTATCCCCATTTTTTGTGTTTAATACATTATTTTTAATCAAATTTATTCACTAATAACTAAGGTAAATAATAAAAAAGAATTCATTTATCTATAGCTCTAGTCAATTTTTATTAATTAAACTAGTTCGCATGGACAATTCAATTGATCATTGAAATTTGAAAACAATGACCAGAATCGAGTGTTATTAATGACAGCGTGAGAGTAAACTCTCTAAGTAAGCGGTGCTCCTTATCTACAGTAAACAAAGGTCTAACCTATGTGTTTAGCTAAGTTACCATAATTTACATCCTCTTAAATGTTCTGTCGGGCTTCAATCTTTAGGGAACAATTTTTATTAATTAAACTAAGCACGTTAAATAAGATGAAGAAAGTAACATTTAATGCTGATCATTGATAGATATTTATCAAATATGAAATAGATTGCGTTACCTTTGAATTGAATACATGTTCATACCTCTCATATATGTATCTACTTGGGGATGAGAGATCAAGTTTTTTTTAATACTACTATTGACTCTATTATAATGTAGTATCTGTGCATACATACTTTCTCGATCTACTGAAGCACAAATAGTCAATGCTCACACTGGGGTTCGAACATGAGGCCGCCAGGGCCCCACATCTCGACCTGACAGAGCATTTAGGATGATGTAAATCACAGTGACTCAATGACTCAACAGACAGACAGAGGCAAATGTCGGTGCATAATCCGCATACTGCCGTTGTCGAGATTTGAACTTGAACATTGATCTCTTCTCATAAATACTATTTACTGAACTATTGAGCTAAACTTGTACGGGTACTTTGCCCATAATCCTATCATACTCCATCACAACTTATCACGCTTATATCTTTATTATCTTCGGGAATTGTTTGTACCAATTGCTACATGACCGGACCGGACCGGACATATATATATTAATATTATTATGTAATTCTGTTATCTGTACATCATACGTAAAAAAGAGCACATGACCGTTATTCCGGTTTTTTTATTTTTAGCTACTGTCTACGTTTGTATTCACTCGAAAGAAAACGCGGCTCATTGCAAATAAAAGAAAAGGAAAAAATAAAAAATAAAGAAAAAATTATTCCAGGAGTATAAATTCAGACACAAAACTCAACTCTCCTCCGCAATCAACAATTTGTTGGGTTGTCAACCCTAGAAATTGTTCCCAATTCTTCCAGCTTGGGGTTTCCATTTGCAGGTTTTTTCTTGAAAAACCCTAACCTGATTACCAGCTGGGGGGGATTAATTGTGTTTATTGTCTGTCTGCATTTCCTTTTGTATTTTTCTTGGCAGAAAAAAGGTAGAGAATTTTTCTGAATTCCCAGAGGGAGGGTTGAGGAATGGGGAGCAGAATGCAGCAGGGGAAGAGAGGGGAAGTTGGGGTTGATGATGAAGCAATGGAGCTGAAGAAGAAGAAGAGTGTTAATGAGAGGAGATATGGGGACGGAGTTGCATGGCGCAGAGGAGCAATGTTGGGGAAAGGAAGCTTCGGGTGTGTTTACATGGCGAGTCTGAAGAAACCCAGATCGAAATACGGCTACTTTCCCTCAGTCATGGCGGTCAAATCCGCTGAGGTTTCAGTTTCGGCTTCAATTCAGAAGGAGAGGGAGGTGCTCGCCAAAATCAAGGCCAATCCCTATGTAATCCGATGCTTCGGCGAGGAGACCACCACCGGCGAGAATGGTGAGATGGTCTATAACTTGCTCCTCGAGTATGGCTCTGGTGGAACCCTAGCGGACAGGATCAAGAAATCAGGGGGGGAGAAGAAGAAAGGATTGCCTGAATTGGAGGTGAGGTTTCATACTAGGTCTTTGCTTAGAGGCTTGAATCATATCCATTTCTCCGGCTACGTTCATTGTGATTTGAAGCCTGATAATATACTCTTAGTTCCTAGTTCTGGAGAGGTGAAGAAGGGTATTGGATTCCGGGCGAAAATTGGGGATTTTGGACTGACCAAGAGAGAGAAACAGAGCAAGAAGAGGAGATTGGAGCCTTATTGGAGGGGTACCCCTATGTATCTCTCCCCTGAGGTTGTTAAAGATAGTGTTCAAGAATCCCCTTCTGATGTATGGGCTCTCGGGTGTATTGTTCTCGAGATGTTAACCGGAAACCCCCCCTGGGCCGAGGAAGGCCAGCTAGATGCTAAGGAGATTCTTACAAAGATTGAGCAAGGGCAATTGCCTAAAATTCCCAGTGACCTATCTAAGGTGGCCATGGAGTTTCTGAAAGGCTGTTTCGTTAAGAACGATATGTATCGATTGACTGCAGAAATGCTGTTGAATCACCCTTTCGTGCAAGGCCTGGATGAAGACGATGACTGGCTGTTTGAGGAAGTGGAAGAGGTTGAAGATATAAACGTTATCGATTCCATCGTGTTGGTGTCTGATGAATTCGGGTCTGCTAGCTGGAGTTGTGTATCTGAAGACGAGGATTCCATATACTATTTGTCAGATGAAGACGATGTGGAAGGCATTGAGGATTACGAAGAAGATTCGTCGTGCTATGATGATGAAGAACGAGGATTGGTAGGCAATGAAAACCCGGGCGATTTAACCCCCAGTACTGATACTGGCTTTGATATTAGCGCGACATCCTTGGAAGTCTCGTCTGAGGTTCCATCTCATGCTAGACAAAAGTATCCGATTGATTATACAATTCGTGCAGGAGTTTAGGAGCGTTTAAGGTGAGCTATAGGGTAAAATTTTGCTTAGATGTAGAGGATTTATTGATTATAGATCAATTGTAGGTCATATTCATTGTACTTACTACAAATTGATAGAAACTTCAATGAATAATGAAATATATATACATTCGTTTCTTTGCCAATCCATACCTTCACCATTTTCTCCACCTCAAATTCGTGTTTACTGCTCCAAGAATCAAGTCTTGCATATTCCCATATAGCATTTCGAGCTTTCAGGATTCATTGTGCATCATATAAGCTGTAATGGAGTTATATAATTGCATTTCCTAGTAGACAAGCATTTCAACTTCAAAGGTTTCCCGGTATGATGATTTCATTTTGTAGCGCAAACTAGATTAAGGTTATATAACTTTAGTTTTTATCTGATCAAATAGGAATGCAAATGGTTTGATCTGCTTTCCAATGCCTGCTGAGACCATATATCCTATGGTGCGAAAACAACCATGAAGCCGGTAAGGAAGTAACGAACTCTGTTCTCGGGATTAACTACTTGATATTGCATAACTCTCGAGCTCTCAATCAAACAAAACGTGTGACTGATAGCCAATAAAAGGTTTTTTTGCATATATATAGGATTGAATGTCTTTATTTTGACATTGTTCAGACCATGACAGTTCTGAAGTGGTTACGTTTTTCCAGTTCATATTGAAATTAAAGCGTTTCAAGAAGAAACGCGAAGGATGATGAGCAGAAGATCTGTGCGATTTTCCAGTCACTCCAATTAAAGAAAAGCCAGAAATGGTGAGTAGTATACATCCCATTTTATTGTATGGATTTGGTGTTTCGGGTTATGAACATTCTTGTTGTCTTAAACAGAAGAGAACAAATCAAATCTGGGATGAATAGATGCACGAATCCCGAAGCGATTTTCTGAGGCAGAGTTGATGAAGAAAGCTGAGAGAGAAGAGAGAAATCCACATCTGAAGCGAATGAGAAGAATATCGGTGGCATTGCCTGCTGGAGCAAGAAAAGAATACTGCATACCAATCCGCTTCAAGTTACTGCTGGCAGGGATTATAAAATTTGTTGTTTATACCTTATACACTTGAATAATCAAATATAAATAACCCCTTCAATAAAATGGAATTAATTGAATTTTTTTATTAGCATCCTTACCCATGAGTAAAGACGTAAAGTGTAAGTTTACTTTAATTTCCTTATTACAATAGCAATTTTATTACAAATAAAATGAAAATCAATTCCAATATGTTTTGTATGGTATGAAGATGAGGGATCTCAGCGCTGCACTATGCTTACTCTCTTTTTTGGCTATCTAATTGCCGATGTCATATCTTACTTCAAATCAAGCTCAATTATGCAACATGCCTGATTCGATCCTTAACCTCTGCGCCCATCATCCTCTCTCAGGGCTAGACTTGGTCCACATCCCATCTAGAACTGGACTTGGCTTTCGTCTTGATACCAATTGATCACCTATATACTTACAAAACTCATTGCCTAATTTAAATCATATATCATTCCATTAATTCAGCCTTATCCATTTTCATTTCATCACCACTCTTAAGATCACTTGACTTGATTTTTAAAACATTTATTCAGATTATATGATCATAAATAACCAAACATCAATATTGGTAATCATTCAAATTTCACTCTACTACTAAATATATAAACTACATTTACTAAAGCTCATTCCAATTACTAAAGTATTTGATTGCAATTTGCAAAAAAAAAAAAACAAATTACTAAGTACTCCGTATTTCATTCTCATTTTAATTCCAATTCCGGTTCTCATATTCCAACCAAATACACCTTTTAAGTCATTTCATTAAATTTTGGGGTATTGTCTAAAAAAGACGAAGCTCATCCACGGCGAGACACACGGGCAGCGAGCAAGACTTTCTCATTCCAAATAAGAGTTGGAAACCAAATGATTGCCTTGCCTTGGAAGGACCGCAAGATACACATATAGAAATTAATGCAAATAATAAATATTGAACTCGGCAAAGAAATTATTATGGTCAAACGATATAACTGTGACTCTTGCAAATGAGAGATCACTAGTTTAAAATCTAGTGAAGTATTGACTATTTATGCTTCAATATGTTAGAAAAGTATACAGTGTTAATAGTACTTAAAAAATAAATATTGAACTCGCATATTCTCATTGTTTACCATTTACAAATAATAAACATTGAATTCTTATTAAAACTTGAACAAGAATATCGCCTCTATGTACTAATGTACCTACTCAGTTAATGATTTATAATGCTAATTCAAGTTCACACACGTTTTCAAAAAAAAAAAAAAAAAAAAGGAGTTCACACACTTTTTTTTTTTTTTTTTAAATATTACACATGCAATTAATTAGTGTTGTAGAGGTAAATGTTATTTTCGGGGTGTTTTATGAAATATTTAATAAATTTGTTACAACTTGAAATAAGTTATTGAATAGGGTATGGTGTTTTATGGAATATTTAATAAATTAGCTACAACTTGACATAACTTGTTAAATAAGGTATTGTAACATCGGATAAGACACTAAACATTTGTAGCTAATAATAATAATAATAATAATAATAATAATAATAATATTATTATTATTATTATTATTATTATTATTATTATTATAAATCCTAAATGGCCAAATTCAAATTTTGGTTTTAAAATTTATATAACACGTTGTAAATAAATCCTAAAATTTCATAACAAAAGCAATAAAATAGATAAGAGAGTTTTGAGAAAACATATTTGATCGAGGTTAGACTACTAATTGACGTTCTGTGTTGAGAGTAGGAGAAGAAGACATGCTATAATAGAAAGAGAAAGTTCAAACATCAATTTTAGGTTAAAAAAGATAGAGGTAATTTTGTAAAGTTATTTTTTTCTTCCTAAAATCTATGGAATTGAAATACAAGGGGGAGTATGAGATTCTAATTCCTTGAAAATGATGGAATTTTAATTCTACGGAATTGCAATTTCCTCTAACCAAACGAATGAATTTACTTATTTTTTGAAATTATCTGGGAATTAAATAGGAATGAAATTGTAATTTCTTCCAACGAAATTGTTATTTATTTTCCCGGAGTATTTGAAATGTTGTTTCTGGATAAGACATTAAATTGGTTATGGCAGATGATCATATGGTTAATGACTTAATGTGTAACCATTTTATTCATAATTGGGACTATATTAACTTCCATAATTGCATTATTCCTATTTATAGTGTACTCCATATTTACTCATTTTCCTCTTTTTTTTTTGAGCTATATTTTCATACTATATTTTAAATCATACTCCGTAATTAGGTAATAAATTATGATTGATGGGATGGGAAGGAGTAGGAATCCGAGACTACTCATCCCAACATCGATCCTTAGAGCATTTATAATAGTATAATTTTTTTGTGATTTTAGAATAATTTTTGTAAGTGCGATTATGAAAGAGAAAATAGTAGGAAAGAGAAAAAAAAAAAACAAAAACAAAATATACTGAATTAAAGAAAAAGAAAAATAAACAGAAAAGGTAACAATCCGCGCCCTAGCTGGGCACGGGTTGTTCATTCACGCGTGAGTCAGACGCTTTTTCTCTCCATCATGTGGACCCCACAAGCTGTCAAAAATTCCAAAATTGCAGAGAGACCTTGAAGCCTCTCTCTCATTTATGTTGTCATTTTTTGCCTAAAAAACTGTAAATAATTCACAGATGTGGATGCTCTTACATCTAAACCTAGTCCGCAAATTCATTACTCATCAAGGCCAGACATTGTGCAATATACCTTCTTCACGGAGACTTTAGAAGTTGGAACTCTCGAAATTAGAGTGTAATCTTTTTGCGAGTTGCGAGTCCAAAACTGACCATCTTTCGGGGTACAGTACAGTTGTAAAAAAGATGGGTGAGGGTTCTTGTCATGTGCAGCAGAAAGTGGAGTTTGGAGTCCATTGTTCCTATGCACACTTGTGCATGTGCTGTGATGTGAAAACTATGCCCTTATATATGCATGTGTGTATATATTTACTAGTAGGATGCATGTTTTTGACATTTTATTTCAATTTAATTTAGGACAAACCACTTTGTAGTGTAATGACATTTTGATTATCACTTTAATTGGATGGTCATAAGTTTGAATTCTTGAGAGGGGCTTAGATTCTTTGGACTAAAAATGTTTGAGAAACTATAGAACATATACTACCTTTGTAAAGAATCATTAGTATTAAAAAAAAAAAAAGAAAGAAATTTAGGGCCAAAATATTTTAATGCCCAGGATTTTTTTCTTTACCAAAGGCGCAAGTAGCTGGTTGATAAATGATAATCAATATTGGAAGACCATTAATTGGTTTAACTTTTTCCCATTATATATTTTGGATGATTTTTAGTCATTAATGACGTACTATGTTTTTTTTTTAATGATATAAAAAAGATTATAATACTAATATAATATTTTTCAATATAAATAAATAAGCATATATATTGTAAACAAAGAAAATTGAATATATATTTAGAAATTCAAAGTTCTTGATTACATATCAAATATCAATGCGGTGTGAGTACAAGTCTCTGGGATGTCCTCTGATTCTTCAATTTGAATGCCTTGAACACTCCACCATTGAAGGGCCTCCGGGTTTCAAGTGGTTTGATCTTCAAAGAAGGGCTTGTATAGCTTGTTCTTCTTGAAGGGCCTCCGGGTTCAAATGGCTTGATCTTCAATGGAGGTTAGGATCAATAGGCATATGCATGATCATTTTGGTGGAGGAACTTCTACTTTCAGTATCACATTTTTATTGTGATCCTGAATAATATTTTTCTAGATGTTTACATCACTTTTCCTAGGATGTGTGATTACATAGAAATGAAATGCCCTATTTATAGCTGTAGGATAGAGAGTTTTGATAAGCTCAAACTCTTTTGATATTATCTAATTAACAAATTAGATAATATCAATATTATCCAAAATATTTCAAATATACTAATATTGATAAATAATCAATATTTATCAAAATTTAAGTGTCTACAAATGCCCCCTCGAGACTTGCTTGTACACCACTTGAGAGCATATAACACTCGAAAGTATGCAGTGCAAGAAAGTCTCGACACTACAACTTAAAGATATAAGGCCGTTTCAACACGTGCCAAGGAGCCTTAAAAGATATGAGGCCGTTTAAACTCGTGCCAAGGAGTCTGAATATAAGGCCGTTTAAACTCGTGCCAAGGAGTATCATTTAGCTTCCTCCGTTTCAAATTTCATATGGGGTTTGCCCCCATATCGATTGAAAGTGCCTATGAAGAGATGAGAGGCAGAGCCGTCCCACTGGACGTGCCAATTCGTAAACAAAGAAAATTGAATATATATATAGTGATTCAAAATTCTGCGTTACATTGGTTATCAAATGCGGTGTGGGTACATGTCTCTGGATATCCTCTGATTCTTCAATTGGTGCCTTGAACACTCCACCATTGAAGGGCCTCCGGGTTTCAAGTGGCTTGATCTTCAAAGAAGGGTTTGTATATATAGCTTGTTCTTCTTGAAGGGCCTCCGGATTCAAATGGCTTGATCTTCAATGGAGGTTTGGATCAATAGGCATAGGCATGATCATTATGGAGGAGAGACTTCTACTTTCAGTATCACATTTTTATTGTGATCCTGAATAATATTTTTCTAGATGTTTACATCACTTTTCCTAGGATGTGTGTGATTACATAGAAATGAAATGCACTATTTATAGTTGTAGGATAGAGAGTTTTGATAAGCTCAAACTCTTTTGACATTATCTAATTAACAAATTAGATAATATCAATATTATCCAAAATATTTCAAATATATTCAAATATATAAATATTGATAAATAATCAATATTTATCAAAATTTAAGTGTCTACAAATGCCCCCTCGAGACTTGCTTGTACACCACTTGAGAGCATATAACACTTGAAAGTATGTAGTGCAAGAAAGTCTCGACACTACAACTTAAAGATATAAGGCCGTTTCAACTCGTGCCAAGGAGCCTTGAAAGATATGAGGCCGTTTAAACTCGTGCCAAGGAGTATCATTTAGCCTCATCCATTTCAAATTTCATATGGGGTTTGCCCCCATACCGGTTGAAAGTGCCTATGAAGAGATGAGAGGCAGAGCTGTCCCACTGGGCGTGCCAATTTGTAAACAAAGAAAATTGAATATATATTTAGAAATTCAAAGTTTTTGATTACATATCAAATATCAATGCGGTGTGAGTACAAGTCTCTGGGATGTCCTCTGATTCTTCAATTTGAATGCCTTGAACACTCCACCATTGAAGGGCCTCCGGGTTTCAAGTGGTTTGATCTTCAAAGAAGGGCTTGTATAGCTTGTTCTTCTTGAAGGGCCTCCGGGTTCAAATGGCTTGATCTTCAATGGAGGTTAGTATCAATAGGCATAGGCATGATCATTTTGGTGGAAGAACTTCTACTTTCAGTATCACATTTTTATTGTGATCCTGAATAATATTTTTCTAGATGTTTACATCACTTTTCCTAGGATGTGTGATTACATAGAAATGAAATGCCCTATTTATAGCTGTAGGATAGAGAGTTTTGATAAGCTCAAACTCTTTTGATATTATCTAATTAACAAATTAGATAATATCAATATTATCCAAAATATTTCAAATATACTAATATTGATAAATAATCAATATTTATCAAAATTTAAGTGTCTACATATATAATTATATAAAATGGTATATTTATACACTAATATTAGTAATGTATACATATTATGCATGTTTGACGGCTGGCCTCCAAAACTCGCCATTTGGTGGGACAAGTTAAAAAGTCTGCCAATAATATGAACCATAAAATTCAAAGTTTATCTCGTAGTTTTGGAAGGACATAGACTAATTTGATTAGTTAAGCTTGTTTTGATGGCTCTAACAACCAATCTTTATACCATGGACTATGGTTCACAGTGTATTGTGAATTAGGGGCATGTATATGTGTCATATGTTATGAGTTTTGTGTCTTGTGTTATAAAATCATGTACCTAAAATAAATTAGTAATTGTATCGTATGTTATGAATTTATGTGTTTTGTCATTTGTGTTGTGAAATTCTATGACTATGAACATAAATTATGTACATAAATTAAATTTGAAAAATAAATAAATATGGAGTATATAATATATGTATGTGTTGTGATTTTTGTGTCATGTTATAAAATTATATATCTTACGAGTATGAATTTTATATCTCATTATTTTGATTCAGAGTCCATAATGCTATGTGGACCCTGGTCTATGATATAAATTGCCACTATAATATATTCGTTTCTACGGGCTTGTTTTCACCGGTTAAAACAAGTCGCTTTTCTCAACTAGTAGTTTTGTCGCTGCCCCCGAAATGAACCATCATTGGCAGAATGGTGCGACTGCTTGATCTTGCTCGGAGATTGCAGAAAACGAACTCAATTCTTTTGCTTCCTCGCATCTTCACCTCACAACTTCTTCTGCCTGCTTCGCCTACTCTTGCTCAGCACAATCTTCGGCGGCATTTCTCTGGGGTGTTTCGTCGAACAGCTTTCAGTCGTGTTCCTCAAACTCGTAACTTCTCCAGCTTCCAAACCGCCCAGACTTACGAAATTATTAATTTTGAAGAACACGTTGAGCGACTAGGCGAAAATTCCCGATTGGGTGTGAGTGAATTCATTGGGTTACTCGAAAAGGCAAAGGATTTTGCTTCAGGAGATGAAGCCATTGCTTTTCTTGATCAGTGTAGTGTCAAACCCAGCAAAGATTTTGTCTTTTTGGTGATATGGGCTCTGAGAGACCAGTGGCAGTTGGCTTATTTAGCATTCAAGTGGGGTGAGAAATGGGAGTGCATTGTTGAAAAAACTTGGTGTTTGGTGATATGGGTGCTGGGCAACCACAAGAAGTTCAGTATTGCCTGGGCTTTGATCAGTGGCCTTGTACGCAATTCAGTGGATGTCCAAGAGGCCGTTCTCATTATGATTGATAGGTAATTTGAACCCTTTCTTTTTAAAGGCATAATCTTAAGTTATTCATGCTCATTCTACACCTAAAATCAAATTTACCTACATTGTATATATTGAAAGTCTGTGATTGATTTTCTATTCTGAAGCATGCCCATAGATGGATATGTGTTGTGAGTTTGTGACTGTGGTTCTTGATAGCAAAGTTCAAGGGGTGTAAACCCAACGGGTAGCTCAAATGGGAAATGAGCTTTCTTTGCGAGGAGAATTCCGGGATAACCCGGATTTGATTCCCACAAGTGACGATTTTTCTTTCGGCCAGCTCCTGTGCCCGAACGGGGATTAGTTGGGTGAACCTGGACCATTAAACGGACAGGACAGAGAAGCCACTCGCGATTTACCTCCTCTAATGGGCCTTGGACAGGGGTTTTAGGCTTACGATTAGTCTGACGTAAACTGAGAAACTTAATGTAACAAAAAAAGAATGAGAGTAATATAACTTCTGTGTTCTGTATGGACCAGCAGTTGCTCCTACATTACCGAGCAAAACTTGTAATATGGTTTTAAGCTATGCATTAACATGATTAGTTTCTGGCTTCAAAATATGTTATAGTGTTGTTTGGATAAAAATAAGCTATTCACTCATCTATTACTTGAAATGATGATCATTTACATGGTTCTCACGATTACTATATGAAAGGTACGCTGCAGCAAATTATCCTGACAAGGCTATCCGGGCATTTCAGATAATGGAGAATTTCAGCTTGTCTCCTGATCAGAAAGTGTTCTTATCGTTCTTGGATATTCTTTGTAAACATGGATTTATTGAAGAGGCTGAAGAATTCATGCTTGTCAATAAGAAGCTATTCCCGTTGGGAATTGATGGCTTCAACGTAATTTTAAATGGATGGTGTAATATTGCGGTTGACATATCTGAAGCCAAGAGGGTATGGCGAGAATTGTCGAAATGCTGTATTGTGCCAAATGGGACTTCTTACATGCACATGATTTCCTGTTTCTCCAAAGTTGGCAATCTGTTTGACTCCCTCAGGCTCTATGATGAAATGAAGAAACGAGGTTGGGTTCCTGGGACATCGGTGTATAATTCTCTGGTGTATATACTAACCCATGAGAATTGCCTGAAGGAAGCTTTGAAAATCGTGGATAAGATGAAAAAAGAGGGCGTGCAGCCCGATTCCACTACGTACAACTCGATCATATTTCCTCTTTGTGAAGCGTCTAAGTTGGAAGAAGCAAGAACCGTATTGGCTATGATGATAGGGGATAACGTAAGTCCAACGAGGGTAACATACCATGCATTACTCTCAGCTGCAAGCCTAGAAGGAACTTCTGAACTTCTAAATAATATGAGGAAAGCTGGACTTGGACCGAGCAGGGATACGTTTCTATTAGCACTCAATAGGTTCTTCAAGTTAAAGGATCCCGAAAATGCGATGAAGCTATGGGTGGAGATGAAATCGTACGAGGTAATGCCCGATTCTGCACATTACACTGTGATGGTGGAAGGGCTCCTGAATTGCGGAATGTTAGTCAGGGCCAAAGAGTTATATGCTGAGATGAAACGTAATGGGATTGTCGATGACCCAAAGCTCCAGAAGCTCATGAAACTGAAGGAATCTAATAGAAATGGTGGTAATCGGAGTGAAAGGGAGGACAGTACCGTAAAACATGGCAAGAGAACTCAATGGACACACCACAGAGAAGGCAATGTGGTTAGGAGCCAAAAACACGATAACCCCACACAAAAGAAGAGATAATAGAAGGACATTTGAGTTTGAAGGTTTCATCATTTCTAGTGAGGGCTTCATCAATGTGGCTTAGCATTCTTGTTGGAACAATGAAGCTTTGCTACAAACCAGGTGCACTCTCACACTTCCTCCATATATTTACAGTCATCTTCTTCTCTTACTTTACTAGTAGAATCTGATTATCTGAAGCTTGGCAATGATGAAACTTCTGATTATTTAAAGTTGAGATTGCAAAGATTGAGCCTTTGTTGCATACATATTTGACTTGTAAGTGCCCCGGGGCATAGCTCAGTGGTCGAAAAGTTGAGCATGGGTGTAGTGACCTAGCAAATACCCAGATTCGAATCCTCTATGGGAGAGGATCTTAGCCTTGGGGTATCCCACGATTTACCACCTCTTATAATTTCCAGGGCAGGGAGGTTAGATTATTGGGTGTATTTGTCATGTGGCAAAGCCAGCTAGGACATTAGAACTTTAGAATAAATATATATTTCCAAAACCAACTGGCGTGAATAAATTAATAATGGTCCTATGCATGTGATGCTGACATGGTTTCTTTATAGAGACAACAACATGGGACACCATTCTTATATACCAATCTGATTATTTTATTTTCCTCCCACTTGTAATATACTAGAGGCACAATATCTCTGCAATATCTTTAAAAATCGGAGTAAAATATTAATATCATTGTCGAAACCAATAAGTAATGAATTCTCGTTTTACGTATCATCATGTTACTATCTAAGGGACTAGGCTACACCAATGAAATGTTAGTCCCAGATCCCCAGTAATATGTCTCAATTTCTGCCTATATAAGGTGCATTTAATACTGAAAGGAGAACTTTTTTACTTGATGCAATCACTCCAGACCTACCCGATTCCGCCTGTATATTCCCCAGTCAAAGGAAATACGACCCGACTCATACATACGGGAATTAAACACATCATAGTTAATTCTAGATTTAGTTTTTTGACTGTCACTTATTTTCAATATGAGTAAATACCCAAAATGGTCCATCAACTATAGCTAAATTCACAAATTGGTCATTGACTTTCAATTTTAACCAATTAAGTCCTTAACTTTGTAATTTTAACACGATTTGGTCCTCCGTCTATTTGACCGTTTGTTGACTGTGATTTTTGAGGATACATATGTAATTTCATGGTCTATCGTCGATTTTTTAAGGTTCCGGTTGCATTTTCAGACCGCACTATTACATTTAAATCCACTGCCAAAAGCAATCTGCCAAATCCTGTCGCCTTTCTTCATCCTCCCTTTGGATTCAATGTAGTTGAGTTCGTACCACAGTGAAGAAGACAACATGTTTTCGAACTGGTGCAGCGTCATCTTGGAGGCCTCCATGTGCTCCGGTGAGAGCTGCGGGTATTTCTGGAGATCGTCGATGATGGCGCGGGCGCCGGCGTTAATGCAGAAGTGTTCGAAGGACCAAATCGTGTTAAAATTGCAAAGTTAAGGACTTAATTGGTTAAAATTGAAAGTTGATGATCAATTTGTGAATTTAGCTATAGTTGAGGGATCATTTTGGATATTTACTCTTTCAATTTTAGTCATTGACTTTTAAAGTTACTAAATTGTGCAACTTTCTATTTAAAAGTCAATGACTAAAAATGAAAATGAGTGACAGTGAAAAAAGACTAAATTCAAAATTAACTTTAAAATATATCATTGTAAAGTTCCATAATAACATTAATTTTGTTGTGAGTGACATGAAAAAGTCGTCATCACTACTCAAAACGCGAAAATGCACAAACTAATCACAGTGTTTGTGTAATAAACCAGACAATATAATGAAGAAAGATCCAGTTAACAGGCATTATCGTCTCTGACAAAATCTCATTAATTAGTTGATAAAACATGATTTAATTTGTTTGGGATCCGGCAATAACCGTTGGAGGAAGTGGTTGACCATCATTATATAGATTATACTTTTAAATAATGTACATTTTAAATAATGAACTTTTAACATATTAAAAATATACATTGTATTCAGAAAAAATATATTATTTGAGTATTGAAAATATATTATTTTGTATAATGTATGTTCAGTAGAAAAATGTATTTTTTATTATGGTTCACACAGCACTGTGTGAAAAATAATTTGCCCTATTCACTCTCGTTCCTTAAGAGAAGTCGGGAGTTTGAACATCCTCTTGTATGAAAAAACCAATCTGCCCAGCACTTTGCTCCTTAATTGTGTCAGTCCTGTGCAAATGAAAATTAGTCTGAATATATCACGAGCTTAAAAGTATTTACTACAATTAAAGCATGCTCAGGACAGCTCGTGGCCCGACAAAAAAACAATAATTTGGCGTGGTGGACAAGTAGAAGCAGACAAAGCAGTAGCAAATTGTGCAGCTTTCTATTTAAAAAAGCAGCTGGTGACAGGTTTCCTCACAGCTATCCACCACTCAATCATGTCCACCTCACCCTCCATCTCTCACCTCCTCTTCCTCCTCGTCCTCCTAATCGCCGCCGCCTCCACCACCGTCTCCGCCACCGACCACATCGTCGGCGCCAACCGAGGCTGGAACCCCGGCATCAACTACACCCTCTGGGCCAACAACCACACCTTCCTCGTCGGCGACCTCATCTGTATGTACAACATATATACGTACACTTTCTTCAACTACGTACCCACAACTCAATAAATCTTTTTCTAATTTTGTTGGTTGGTTTTTGAATCTGTGTAGCGTTTAGGTACCAGAAGACACAGTACAATGTGTTTGAAGTGAACCAGACCGGGTACGACAACTGCACAACGGAAGGGGCTGTCGGAAACTGGAGCAGCGGCAAAGACTTCGTCCTCCTCGACAAGGCTAAGAGGTATTACTTCATTTGTGGCACGGGTGGCTGCTTTAATGGCATGAAGGTTTCGGTTGTTGTCCACCCACTTCCTCCTCCGCCTAAATCCGCCGTCGGTGCTGACCATTCAAACACCAAGTCCGCCGCCTCTGCCTCCACGCCGCCGCTTGCTCTTTGGCTGCTCATCATTGCTGGGGTTCTTTTGGGGATTTAGCCTGTAGAATTATGCTTGCTATCCAACCATTCAAAAATGAGTATTTACCATTTACCATTTACCAGCACGCAGTTGTAGTGAATTGTAAAAGTGAAAATGAATGTTGTCATTTGTTGATTTATCATTGGAAGATTTTTTTGTTTTGTTTTTCCTTCTTTAACTCCATTTTTTGGGAAATGACATGATTTCTTAGGGCTGCAATGTTTAATTACTGTAACCATTCTCTCTTCTTCAGTTTTTTTTTTTTTTTTTTTTAAATAAAAAGTATCAAATAGATCACTGAACTTCTTACTCTTGTGTCATTGGATCATTAAACTTAAAAAGTTTATAATCGTACTATCAAACAAACAACATATGTGTAATTAAGACTTTATTTTTTAAAATTTTCTAGAAAAATCTTATCATATCACATATATAGTATGTACTAAAATTTTCTCTTTTTACTCTCATATACTATAGTTAGGAGTAAAGATTAAAATATTTTTAACTAAAATTGCATTAAAGGGAACTTGAAAAATGTCTCGATTGGACATAACATAAGTTTATGAACACTATTTCACTCTATTACGAGGTAGTATCTGTTCTATACTTTCTCTAACTATTATAGCACAATTATACAAAAATAAATACTCAGTATTTGTTTTATACTTTCTCTAACTATTCGTTAGTGACTCAATTATACAAAAATAGATACTCAGTAAATTTTATGACCTATTTTGACATTTCTTTCTTAAATCTTAAGTTTTATTATTATTATTATTTTTTGAACACTATTTGACTCTATTACGATGTAGTATCTGTTCTATACTTTCTCTAACTATTATAGCACACATAGTCAATTTCTCACCACTTTCGGAGTTCAATCTTCTGATATTCGAATATTCCCTCAAATTTTCATTATTATTTTCAAACTCAATAACTCATTGCAACTTTAGTTACTTTACCTTTTACAAGATGGGTAAAACATGTCATGAAACAGCCCTACAAAAATCACTGTGCTTGTACCCTAAGAGCAATCACATTAATGCAAGAGAAAAAAAAAGCAGGTACAATATAGAGGAGACTCGAGAGAGTAGAGTATCTTTTACGCCTGAGCTGTCTGTGTCTTGGATATAATCATTAATTGGTCATTAGGTAGGTACGGAGTCTCAATCAGCTTTTATTAGGTTTTTGCCTTTAATTTTAACTTCCTAATAATTACATAGAAAATAATTTTCAAAAAAAAAAAAAACATAGAAAATACTTGGTGTACTTCCATTTTAAACTATCAACTTATACTCCCTCTCACATATTTTGATATAGACACTTTTCAGTGGTCTCACATGATGAAAATAACGAGTATAAATGAGGGAGTAAAATTTTGAGAGTTTATGTAATAGAACTCTATTTACATCTACTCTTTTTTTTTTTGAATTTTTTTTTTCAATTAAAAATGTTTACAATCACTAAAGAAAAGAGTGTTTAATAATTGAAAAAATATTTATTTGTCTTAAAAATAGAGAATTACTTGTACATTTCTTTAATTTAAATGTACATTTGTGTAAAAATGTTTATTTACTTGTACATTTCTTTAATTTAAAAATAGAGAATAGAGAATTAAAAACTAAAAAATTAAAGTAAACGTGACCTTCAATTATAAATTTATAATGACATTAATAAGATATTGGCTCTGTTTGGTAAACATAGCTGAAAAGTTATAAGCTAGGAGCTGAAAGCTGAAAAGTTATAAGCTCGGAGCTGAAAATTGAAGAGTTGTTAAGCTAGCTGTTATAATTGAAAGTGTTTGGTAAAATTAACTTTTTTGATAAGCGGATAAATGTAAAAAGACTAAAAAGGACATCTTCATAAAATTTAAATTGAGTTAATACCCAAAATCGTCCTCGACTATAGTGGTTTTTTTCAATTTCGTCCTAAACGACTTTGGTGACCTAATATCGTCCCTGACTTTTGTGTTTCGCTCAATTTAGTCCTCCATTTGTTATTCCGTCAAATTGGTGTTAAATAAAGGGACAATTCAGTAATGTCAATATTGATCTCTCTTTACTTTCAACTTGTGAAGTGCGAAATTCCTCTTTCTTGTACGAATTACACCCAGAATTACTCCCGGACCTGCAAATCAAATTTTATATTCGCAGTTTTAGGAGTAATTCTGGGGGGTAATTCGTAAAAAAAAAAAAGGATTTCGCAGTTCACATGTCTATGAGTAAAGAGATGCCAATATTAAAATTACTGAATTGTCTATTTATTTAACACCAAATGGACAGAATAACAAATGAGGGACTAAATTGAGAAAAACACAAAAGTCTGGGACTAAATTGAGCGAAACACAAAAGTCTTGGACGATATTAGGTCACCAAAGTCGTTTAGGACGAAATTGAGAAAAACCACTATAGTCGAGGACGATTTTGGGTATTAACTCAATTTAAATTAGTTTGTTTACATATTAAAATTTAACATTTTGTTTTTTAAAAAAAAATTAACATTTGAAATAAAAATGGAAAAAAGTTAGGAAACTAGGAGCTTATTTTGGGAACATTATCAAACAGAGCTTATAACTTTATTAGTAGTTTAAAATAAGTTATAAGCTCCTAAATAAGCTCTGTCAAATAAAGCCATTATAAGTTCAATTTTTTCTCACAGAGTATACCTCAACCGGTTAATCAATCAAAATACAATAAAAAATTTTAAGAGCCCTCGACCTCGGGAACAATCCTGATATCTTTAGGGATTTTTTTTAGTAAAAAAAGGGAGATATTTTTGTGACCATCACTTGTGTTTTTTTTTTTTTTAAAAAATCAATTAATATAATCAAAATATTTAATTATTTTTAATTTTTAAAACCACACCGCAATGAAAGGTATTTGAAAAATAAATTCTTTAAAACTAAATTAAAAGATTGTTGTCAAGTAGCTTGTAGCTCAATGACATCTTTGTGGTTCTCTCAAATGGGAGGTCACAAATTTGAACTTCGGGCATCAACTCTTTGTGCTTTAATAGGTTGAGAAAATATATTTAGACAAATATTACATTGTAATAGAGTCAATAGTACTCAAACAAAATTACAAGATTGTTTTTTTTTTTTCTTTTCTTTTTCTTTTCTTTTTGAGAAGATTATAAGATTGTTGTTAGTTGAACAAAAATGTTCAACAGTGAAATGGGTGTAATTCATTCGTTTGGAGATTGATTCATCTGTAAGAATTTGACCCAACCACATTAAAATGGCCCAAAATTTGAGCTTGGCCTGGCAAAGAACCATCAATATTCTGTGGAATCGTGTCCACCTTGCAAGGTATACACAGTTCTAAAATTGTTCATAATTATGAGCATATAGTTCTATAATTATGAATATAGAGTTGTGAACATAATTGTGAACATATAGTTCTGCAATTATGAATATAAAAATCAATAATTGTGAATATAAAGTTCAAAATTATGAATATATAGCTGATTATGAACATATAGTTCAGTAATTATGAACATAGAACCGTGTCCACCACGGTCCACACAATAACTATTGCAATCGTGGACATGGGTCCATTTTGTAAGATAGATCACTCTGATAAAATACATTTTTGTTAAAAAATAAAAGGCTATTCATTAATCATAAACAAAAATGTTTACAATACAGATCGTTAGAATGACATTGCATTCTTTACAGTCAGACATAGAAACAAAATTTCTAACAATGTTATAGAAAACTTGGATCTCGGACTGTTTTATAAATTTGAAGCCGAAGTTGGATGAACTCGGTGCTTCTTCACAGATCTGGTCAAACATAGCCAAGCCTGACTCTAATATGATCATTTTATCATTCCACGTTTATGAGGAGAACTCGCCAAAGAAACGAGAGAAAAACTCGCCAAAGAAACGAGAGGGAAACACTCGTCAGAGAGACGAGAGAAAACAAACTAGTCAAAGGAACAAAGGAATAACGCATAACCAAAACAAAACAAAATAAATGAAAAAATGATAGAAAACCTATCAGATCGGAAGAGTCTCCAACACCTTATCTGAAAAAACGATCGGAGATAATATGAAATCTAACGCTTATTCCTAAACCAGCCAGAGGATGGAGTCTACTAATGGCACCGCCGGCTCAACCCTCCATTAGAGGGTCAGCCGGAGGATGGAGTCGCGGGTCCTTTACAATGAAAAAAATGAGAGAAAGTAGTTGTTTAGAGAGAAAGCAGTTATTTTTTAAAATAAAAATTCTATATTGATAAAATACATTTTTATTATATTAAATGTTATTTTTTTGAAATTACATTATTTGAGTAAATGAACCAAATAATTTATTTATTCTTCCAAAAGGTTGAACCCCAACCCTAAGGGCCCATATCCTGACCCGACAGAGCATTAGTAGTTGAACATCAAATCCAAATAATTTATTCATATTCTACCATATAATTTATCAAAGACGGTGGGTAGGGCCATCATTCCCTCAAATTAAGCTAAATTCGAGAGGACATAATAGAATAAACATGATATTACAAATTAATTTAAAAAGAAAAAAAAAAGAATCTTTAAGAAGTCAAAGAAATCTTATTCTAGTTTGGATTTGTGGTCACCAAAGCTAAAGCAATGCAGTAAGTCAAAGAATGTGCTTTGTAATATTTTAAGGTTGCTTAGCATAATCTTCACACTATTGCCCCACTCAATCTGAATAGATTAAGGTAACTAATTAGTGTAAAATGATATATATTTTTTCTTTTTTTAAATATAACATGTTTAAACAAATCATAAATGCTACCAGAACCATATTTTTTTTGTTTGTGACGTCGATTAAAACGTTAGGGTATAAATAAGTCGAGTTGATCTCGATAAACAATAGGTAGACTCGAGTTCAAGCTCGAGCTGAGTGGCTCGTGAGTCGCTCGACTATAATTTTGTGTATATATATATATGTGTGTGTATGTATATGGCTTGCGAGCGGCTCTACGACTCACGAGCCTAAAACATTTGAGCTTGAGTTCGGCTCGGATACGAAACGAGCTGGCTCGAGTTTGAAGTTGATCGAACTCGAGCCGAGTTTTGATCGAGCAGCTGGCTCATTTACACCCTTAGAAAACCTCCAATCACTATCCGAGGATGTGCACGGAGTAAACCCTGCCTTATGACTCTAACCGGCAAAGAAAAACTAACCAAGATTGCCTAAAATGAATGAATCTTAATATTGGATTGTGTTGGTCAGTGATAAAGACTCTTTGATGAATTCTGTATCAAGTCAGAGAAAATGGCAGCAATAACAATTTATGTCTACAAGAAAACATTTGCAAAAAAAAAAAAAACATGTACAACAAGAATGCAACACATGCTCTAAAATCTACTGTTCTGTTACAAGGCTATTTGGAAGCAGATTCTGCATTGCTCTTCTGTCTTCTTCTTGATCTGTTGAACATTTTGGATGGTGGAGACGGGGAGAACTCGAACGGGAGGGGTGGCAATTCCATTTCGCCTCTCAAAATCTTCACAATGTCACCAATGTCAGGTCTCAGTTCTGGCATTCTCTGCAAGCAAGCTAAAGCTAAGTTGATACACAAGCTTGCTTGATCTTTGTTGTACTCATCTCTCAGTCTTTCATCCACTAGTTCTAGTATGTTCCCAGAATGAGCCAACTGTTTGCACCAGCTTATCAGGTTCGCTTTCTCGAGCTTCATAGGCGAATTGAGGACGTGGAGAGGCCTTCTACCCGAGACGATCACGAGAATGAGGACTCCCAGGCTGTAGATATCGGCTTTCTCCATTAGGTAGCCACAGCCCCCGAATTCGGGGGCAACATAGCACAGTGTGCCTCTCATGCTTGTAGTGCTGCTTAGTTCCCGGCTGAAGAGGTCTCCACTCCATATATCACTGCCAATGGAATGGGAATTGGTCTTCTTCTTCTTCCAGCCTCTCCTGAAGCTGAATTCCCTCTCGAGATTGCTTGCGTTTTGAGCCTGGATTTTGGGCCTGCTTCTTCTGAAGAAGACGAGGCGTTTTCCAAGATCGAAATGGGGGACACTCAGTCTTCTGCTAAGCCTTTTTTCCTTTGTGGTGTTCTTCTTCTTCTTCTCGGACAGCTCGTCGAGGTGCTCTTCTTTCCACCACTCTTTCATCTTCCTTGGCTTCTTGGTTTGGGATTCCAATTCAAACCCCTTCTTGAGGCTCCCCAATTCTGGTTCTTTGGCTTCTTCGAACTTGGTAAATCGAGTCGAGTTTTCTAAACTGGGTTTTCGATTTGGGGACTTGTTGTTATGTTCATCCCAATCAGGATTAGCTGAAGGGCAAATCTGGCTGCCAATCCACTCCATTACATAATCTTTGCTGCAAAGCTCACCACTTCCATCTTGTCTCCACCACCAATCTCTACCCCATTGTGTTTTGCTCACCACATTATCATCACCCCCTCCTAGCTCTTTGCTGTGGTCAATGCTGCTGCTTAGCTCATCATCATAGTTCCCAAACTCACTGTTTTCAACCTCTTTCCCCTTTAAATTCCTGCTCTTTTCATCACTTTCAAACACAGCATTATAGTTCATGGAATTCATCAATCCCAGAGCTCTAACATTCTGAACCATTTTAGCAGTGTTCTTGGAGGAGGAAGAGGCTTGTAAGGCCAAAGCAAAATCTACCTCATCATGGCTCTCACCAGGGGTCTGAGTCCCTCCAGTGCCTACCCCTAAATTCCCAGAAAGGTCTTGGCTTTTCCCCAAGTCCTGGCTGAACAAATCCACCCCAAATTCCCCTTCAACCTTCAATCTCGATAACCCGAAATCGGAAAGCTTAGCCCTCAACTCTGAATCAAGCAACACATTGCTGGGCTTCACATCCCCATGGACCACTGGTGGGTTGCATTCAAGATGCAAGAAAGCCAGAGCCTTTGCCACATCAAGAATGATATCAAACCTCCTGCTCCAATTCAGCCCCAAATTAGTCTCAGAAAACAAAGATTCTTGCAGACTTCTATTGGGCATATACTCATACACCACAAGTCTCTTGCTTTTCTCCACACTGTACCCCAGAAGAGAGACCACCAGAGGGGACTTGATCCCTCCAAGAATCTGAAGCTCATTCTGAAACTCCCTTTCAGTCTGGAAAGAAGCACAATCCAAGAGCTTCACAGCCACCCACTTCCCATTCTTCAACTTCCCTCTAAACACACTCCCTGACCCTCCTTTCCCTATAGAGCTGGACTCACTAAACCCCTGGGTAGCCCACTTCAACTCCCTGTAAGAAAACCTCTGCAGCTTCACCAGAGGCGCATTGGAATCAAATGGGCTGGTGCGGGCGCGGTGGACTAAAGAGTACCACAAATAGTACAGAAAGTAAAGAATTGCAAAGAGGATAATGAGAGCAGCTAAGGTTGTGATGGCAATGAAGATATCAGTTATTTTGGGTTCGGAGTCTGAAGACAAAGCCTGCCTTGAAGGCATTCTTCGTTCCCTGGTTCAAGATTGAATTTTTTTTCTTTGGGTTGAGAAATGAACAGAAAATGAAGAAGAAAAATCAAGAAAGGTAGGGGAGGGGTTCAAGAATTTTGTTTTTAATGCTTTTTATTTGTGGGATCTTGCTTTACAGTTGGATAATCATATTGAGGATGAGTACAAGAAGAATTCTTTGGAATAGTAAACATGGTTTGGAATCTGATGTTAATTGGTTATTTAAGAACAGTGCTTACTAGATTATAGTATACTATATATTACTTTGAAGGAGTTTGGCTTTGTTGTTAGTATATTTTTAGTGGTGAGTTGAAGTTTGGGAGATGGGGATTAAAGAAAAGGGGGAAATTGGAGGGGCCCATATTTGCTTTTGACTAAAAGAAAGGTGAGATTGCAGGCTCAAGTATGAGGACAAATTTGTTGTTCCTAAAGGGAGAGTTGGGGATGGGGGTGGGAGTGGGGTAGGGGGTAAAGAAAGTGATAGTTGTGGTCATTTTACCATGCTCATCATGGCTGTTTTTTTTTTAATTTTTTTTTAACTTTTTTTTTTTTTAATTTTATGTGTTTGTTTTGATTGACGAGATTTAACTAAAATTATTTTTAATTTAATTTTTTACATAATATTAAGTTTAGTATGCCAATTACCTTATAGTGTGATGGCATCCCGGTTACCATTCAAATTGAATGATTATAGGTTTGAATCCCGTGGTGGGGCTTAGATTTTTTGGGTTGAAATTGTTACATTGAAAATATTATTAAATACCAAAAAAAAAAAAAAGACAACTATTATTACTAAAATTTAATTTTTAAAGTTGAGGGGCTTAATTAGTCAAAAAAATAATCGAGGACTAAATTAGTAATTTTACAATAGCCAGCTAGCAATTAATTGTCAAAATACTCTTAGCAATATACTACATAGGTTAACCCAATGGGGTTAGCTTAAGTAATAAATGAGCTCTCTTTGTTGGGAAGATTTTTGGGATAATCTAATTCGATTCTCACAAGTGACGATTTTTCCTGAGCTAGCTCTTGTGTTTCTCGGAGTGAATGATGATCAATCGGGTGGATCCGGACCGTAAAATGGTGTTTTGGCTTTAGGAGAGGCATTGATTGCCTTGAACGTGTGGCCAACCCCTGTTATTGCTACTCTTTACCTGTTGTGATTGGAACACTATGGCTTTGGCCCTTGGAGGGTATCTTTTATTCTTTTAAATTCCATCTTGTGCACGTAAAAATTCACTTCTTATGATTTCTTTAATTATATTCTCTTCAATGATCAATAACATATATGCCCAATATACGGATCTTAGATTCTTAATTAGGTGTTGTCATTCACTTAAATCCAACTATATAGTATGTCATGTGTTATACCGTAAAAATTCATTATAAAAATAATCTATTTAAGATGTATAATGAAGAGAATCATAGATTTAAGAAATAGCATTTGTTCAAGTTCGTAGAGAACCATCATTTGTAGGTTTTAGATGATTTTTTGTGAGGTCAAGTATGAGGTGGAGGAGAGATAACATAAAAAAGAAAATTCAAATCTCCTTGCAAGGACTTTTTTATTTTTTTATTTTTTTTTGTGGAGTCCACCAAAAAAATAAAATCAAATAAAGCTTTATTCAGGTGTGTGTGTGTTGCGCACCAGATGCCTCCAAGCCCTAGCCGGGCATGTGCAGCTAGGTGCGTTACCCTAAGTTTATTTTTTGTAGGAAACTAGCTCAGTTTTTCTTTTTCCCCTTGTTTCTCTCTCTTACATGGACCTGCAAAAATCAAGAAAAATCTCTTACTAAGTTGCTCTTATAAATCAATATAATGGCTACATAACAATTAATAATCACTAAATACATATAATGTACAATTATTATTAATAATAAAGGACAATTGGTCAAAAGTGGGGTTTAATTCTCACTGAAAATATGAGGTTATTCGGTGATTCAGAACTAAAAAAATTGATCAAATGTGATTAAGGCAGTGTACATGCAATGGTTAAAACTGAGGGCTAATTGGGTAGGGGTTATGAAGATTTAGGATTAGTCTAGCGTAAGATGGAAACTTAATAATAATAATAATAATAATAATAATAATAATGATGATGATGATGATGATGATGATGATGATGATGGACAATGTCCTAGGAAGGGAAATTGAATAATTAAAGCATGATTCCCGTACTTAAATAGTTACGAGTTTGATTTTAATTTGCGAACACCCTCTTGATCGAACTCATCCCATAAATTTTTGCGTGCTACTATTTATATATGCACACACGGAACATTAAAGATGACAAAAATAAGAGTTAATACCCAAAATAGTCCATCGACTATGTCGTAATTACCAATTTGGTCCTCGACTATCATTCTTACCCAATTAAGTCCTCAACTATACAATTTTTACCCAATTTAGTCCTTTGTCAATTTGACTGTTTGTTGACTGTCAAAAGTGGAAATAAAGTTGTAATTTTACAAGTTTTCTCCTTCCTCCTCATTTAGCAGCGCCAAACCATGTAACAATAAGCTCCGATTGGGTTCTAAACCTGTCAGTATCGAAGTAGTGGTTATGCATCGGATAGCCCATGAATTTGATTTCCAATGATTTTTTAACGATCGAAATCTGATCGGATTGTATTGCTGCATGGTTTGGCGCTGCTAAATGGAGAGGAAGGAGAAATCTTGTAAAATTATAATTTTATCCCGACTTTTGACAGTCAACAAACAGTCAAATTAATACAGAGGACTAAATTGGGTAAGAATTGTATAGTTGAGGACTAAATTGGGTAAGAATTGTATAGTTGAGGACTTAATTGAGTAAAAGTTACATAGTTGAGGACTTAATCGGGAAAGAATAGTAGTTGAGGACCAAATTAGTAATTATGGCATAGTCGAGGGACCATTTTGGGTATTAACTCCAAAAATAATCATTATATTCCACTACAATTCCATAACTAAAATTACAATTCTCTCAAGTAATAACCAAGCTACTTAGCTACATATTTAGAATTCTCCAAAATAAACATGACTAAATATCTTCAATATAGATCGAAGAACTATATTATTGCTCTCCTACCCAAACCCCTAACATTATGGCAAAGTGTTTAAACTTTTATGAACTAGGTAAAATTTTTCTAAAGAGATTTATTTTTCAATTTAACTTGTCAATATCATTTTGTATAAGAATAAAGTCGTCGCGTGTCGCATTATGTATTGTGTAAAACATCATAATTAATCATGGAATGGAATGCATTTCCAGAAATTAAAGCTAAGGATGTTGTTTTTTTATTTTGCCCCAAAACAACACTTGCGTGCACGACCAACCGATAGAATGAATGTATGCAACTAGGTATGATGGTCATGTTTTTGTTTCCTTCAATTTGTCCAAATTTTGGCAATTGCCACTCCCATGTTAGCTTCATTTTCTACCTATAATTCCATCTCCACACCATACATCAATACCTCAATCTTCATCTCTTTCTTTTGTAATTTTCCTAATTCATAATCCATCCACCTGTCAGCCTTGGAGAAGCTCTGATCTATACTCTACACAATTAATTAATTAATTGAAAAAATGACAATTTCCCATCTCTAAATTATAGAGAAATAACACTTTTTGTCTTTTAATTATATTATCGTCACTTTTCATCGATCTCTTAATTGTCTGTGAAGTGACTTCGTCGTTTCTTAACTCATTTGTTAACTATGTTTGGGAGAAGAAAATTAACTATGTTAACTTTTGTTTCGTTTCTTAACAGTGGTTTTTTTTGAATCAACCGAATCTGGAAATGCACCTAAATTAAAAAGGCCAAATTGCCACCTGGGATACTATACCTTGGATTCTCATCCACATACACTTTGATAGAGAAGACATGGGAGTAGGCACAATGGCAATATCAATATATAGTCAAAGTGCATTGTTACTTTTCAGAAGTGCATTGTTGACATGTGTAAAGAATTATACTCCATGTATATATATATATATATATATATATATATATATATATATATTTCTAATCAGGTGAGAACTAACTTTAACCTACGAACTGTGAACTTGTGAATAATTACACCGCAACTACTACATGATTACACTTACGGCTCCGAGACATGTCTGAAGGACCTTGTGGTGCAATCGAATCCGGGACCGGTGCTATCGAATCCGAGTGCAGTGCAATCATGTAGTAAGTGTTGTGCAATCCTTTACAAGTTCACAGTTGTCTGGTTAATACTGATTCTCACCTGATTATGAATATATATATATATATATATATATATATATATATATATATATATATATACACATTTTGTAGATTTAAAGTTGTTGAAAAAGAAAAAGAAAAAAAAAAGGTGAAATGTGGCATGGCTTACAGTATTGGCTTTGTTGTGCAGAACAGAAATGAAGCAAAAGAAAATGGTGGTGGAGAGTTGGACCATTCCCACCAGCAGGAAGGTAATAAATAATGCATTATACATGCTGCCTCTTTCTATTTGGTATTCTTTTATCAACATTTTGCTGTTAGCACGTCTATGTGTGCGTTACGTTGATTTATCATTATCCAATTTCAATAATTTATTCAAAACAAAAATAATTATGTGCTTTTCACATAATAATTTATCTCTTTCATTTTTTTTTAATTTTTTTATTTAGTTAGGGTAGTGCTCAAGATAATGATATATACTGATAGTGATTGGAGTGTTTCACGGTCCCAATTCTTAGAATTTTGAATAATATGAAGGATACAAATGAATAGAAAAAATAAACTAATCTAAACTATCATTACAATCTCAAAACCACAATTCTAGCCATTCAAATCCCACCGGTATTCCAAATGGTCTAAGGTTAAGTTAGAAGAATGATCGGCTGGTCTACGTACTATTTTAACTACTCTCTAAGCAGTTGTGTAATAATATTACAATAAAATTAATCACTCACATCAACGATCAAACTTTGTAATAAAGGAGTAATTAATATATATCTAAGTAAGAAAACTAAGAATAATCAATTGCTCTAATTTGATTTTCACTATTCAAATTATTCCAATACCACATACTGCTTACATATATTCTAAATACACACACACACACATATATATCAAATTACATTTCAGAGTAGTAAATTTAATATTATCGATGTGATCTTATATATAATAACTTTTAAATTCATTTTTATACAAAATACAAAAAAAAATGAAAAATACTGAATTTAAATTACCCGTATATATTAATTGTTGTTTACTAATTGGATTAGTATTAGTTTTGGCATAAATTAAACATTTTATGCGCTTCATCATATATACAAATATACAATAAATA